TTACACAGTTAATTGGGAGCTAAGTATCCTGAATTTGGGGATATAGTTCACTAAAATTGTGTTTGGAACTTTGGATAGCAATGGTGGAGGGAACTGGGAAGGGGTGCAAGTGCAAAGGGAAAAATTGAGACAGATTTTAAATTTCCCTCCAAAAATTTCCGACATTATAAGTATATGTTCTACATAAGTGGAAATTGGACTCCTCCATTAACCATTTTCCTTCTGCCAATTCGTTCTGATCAAAGGAAAGTGGATCCATCACTCTCCATTTGACCGTTTACCTTCTGCTAATTCGTATCTGAAGTTCTGAATAAAGGAAAGTGGATCCATCACTCTTCCTCCTCTTCCTTTGAGATCCTCTCATCCAACACATTGGAAGGTTTGCATAGTTCATGGGCTGATATGAGTATATGTTTTATGCAGTATGCTAAGTTTACAAAATTGTATTTAATGACGACGATTTGTGTTAGGCATCATTGCAATTTTTTTGTTAAAAGTAGGTTGAGTGGGCTAGTTTCATTGTAGTTTGATGACTGCTCATTTGGGAGTTGGGATACGGTTCCTATCTTTAAAAATTAGCCCTAATCTTTTCTCATTCTGTTAAATAGCTTTTGATTTGAACTTCTTGTCTTCGAGGTGATGGGGTGTTCATCTGTCTGGTGATGGATACATCACTACTAAGTATTTTGGTTTTATTGCAGAGTATGCTAGATAATTTCTTGAAGTTCTATGAGGGTTTTGATACAAGGCCTGTCTTTAGTGGTGTGGAGGAAATGCTCAAATGGTCAGGTTTATATAATCTCACCAGCCGAACATTGGAGGAGGAATTAATCGATGCAAACCTCTCTCCTGTACTTATTAATGAGCTTGTCACGGTAAGGATTGCTAACAACTACTTACAAATAATTTTCAGGATACTTTTTACTTTACTAATGCTTTTTTTTAATCAAGCGTGTAATGAAATCTGTCCAATTTTGTTTAATCTGTTAATGATAAACTTTTAGCCGATCATTTCTTGTTCATCTGCTTCCCTCACCATCAGTTTTTTTTTTTTTCACTGTGCCTCAATTGGTATAGGCTTTAGTTTATACTTCTGGATAGTTGAAACTCGACACATTGTCTGCTTAATAAGTCAATATATTCAGCAAGCCCCTATACATTTGTTTGACTAGATATCTACATGAAAACATTCTTCCCCTATTTGGAGGCAGGTAGTGCTGTTGTATGGTACTTCTTTCTTTTATATTGGTGACAATTTAAGAAATGATTGTGAAACAGGGAAACAGCTCTTTGTGTACAATATTTTCAGGACAATATTTTTAAAGTGGACATTCTTGTACAATCAACATTCAAAGTGAAATTAAGAAATAATGATATGAGAGCTTATGATGAACCAAGCTTAGCTTGATTGTTATTGTTGAAACTTGAAAGTATTCAGAACATTTTTTTATGTTAGTATCATAGAAGCTAATTGGCTGATTTAATAATTTACAGGTTATCACACGGATCAATTACGGTCAAAGTACCCGCATGAGTGGATTGGCAGGGGCAGTTTCCTTAGCAGGTTCAGGTGGTGGGTTGTGGGCAGTTGAAGGTGGCAATTGGCAAATGGCTGCAGGACTTATTAATAGTTCAGATGTCAAATTGCATCTAAATGAAGAGATACAATCTGTCTCCCATGTTGGAACTCATTATGAACTTAACTCGACCAAAGGAAACAGTTATGTCTGTCAAGTCACAGTTTTTGCTACACCACTAGATGAACTAAAAGTTAAGATTGAGCCACCAATATCAATTCCTGATAGAAAGATGCAGCACACTCACACTACCTTTATCAGGGGCTTGTTAAATCCTGTAAGTTTCACCTTTTGTTAGTTCTACTTGTAATTATTGTTGCATAAAGCTGTTTGTAGAATTCTATTTGGCTTATGGTATATTCTATCTCTCTTGGTTCTTTTTTTTTTTTTTCCAAAAAAATAAATTTGAAGATTGTTTTAAAAATTCTTTTCACTTGATGAAGGCATATTTTGGCCTGGGAAGAGTTGGTGATATTCCGGACCTGGTTGGTACCCTTGAGGATTCCAAGATTCCTTTTTCATGTATATCTGTTCTGAAGAAGCACAGCATGGAAGATATGACGTACAAGATGTTCTCACGCAAACCTGTGGATGATGCACTGCTTGATCAAATATTCAGGTCAATATTTATTCATTTCATTCTTTTACCCTATGCTTATAATTGAAGGAAGAAAGCTTGCTTCCTAAACCTTAACAGAACATAGTTATTACATAAATTATACAATTGCACTGCAAGGACTCAGTAGTGGCAATTGTAGTCTTGTAATGAAAATGCTTATTTGTTAGTCTTTGCTTCTATAATTGACACCCATAGTGGCATAATTTTGTAATCATGTATAATACGTTGTATGAAGGTGATTTGCTTCTGTTCTGATATAGATTTCTTAAGGGCTATATGCTGTTTGGTACATTTGGCTTGTTTGCTCTTGTACTTTTTCCGAAAGTTTTATCTTTTTTCATCTTTGTCTTGGAATAATTAGTTTCTGTTGCCGTCAATGCAGCATCAGGAAAGAGACCATTCAAATAGATTGGGCTGCATATCCTCACTATGAGGCTCCAGAGGCATTTGCACCCTTTATTTTGGATGATTCACATCTGTATTATGTCAATGCTTTTGAGAGTGCGGCTAGTGCAATGGAAACTGGTGCAGTTGCCGGTGAGAATATAGCACGTTTAATCTTATCAAGACTTTCTACTGAAGCACTCTCAAGGTTACCTACCATGAAGAGCAACACTTTCAGCAGTAGCAGGGATGATCTGTACTCCGATTTGTAGTCTGATGCATCATGTTATGAAGGATTGTGAGTTTATGACTCATTGCACATGTGTAACAATATTATTAAACTTATCTGTATCTTATGTGTCAAAAATATCTATGTTAGATGGACTCGGGTACTCATGTTTGACATGGATATGTATCCAAGTGTCCAACTCGGCTATTTTGTGAAAAAATCTATAGTTTTGAACCAAAAGTGAAGTGTCCAAGTGTCATACCCATGTTCGAGTGTTGACGGTTCGACACGGGTATTTGAGGTGAAATGAAGAGTCCATGTAACATAGCAAATATGTAAGACTTACATAATGTTTACTTTTCTCTTTGCCACTTCGGTATACAAATAAGACTTTGGCTATGCATTTATTTATCTTTTTTAGTGTTTTCCACTTAAGCTTTTTATTTTCGTAGGTAAGACAAAGGGCTTACTAGGTTAGAATCTCTTGGTGGTAAACTTGACCTAGGTTAGTAGGTGAGACATTTTGGGAGTAGGAGAAAGGCCGAAAGGGTAAGGACTAAGGACAAACATGGTAGTAGTATTATTTGTGCAAGGTCATCAGACCGTCTTAAGGTAATGAACACAAATTATTTTATGGAGTATAATTTCGTCTATATTATTTACCTTATACTATACTTTTTAAGAAATACGGAATAGTATTTATATAATTAATCTTAATACAAAAATTAGAAAATTAACTAAAAGAAATAATTTTACAAGAAATATCCATAGAACAAGACCCAATATAAAATAGTTTTGAGCAGTTGGACTATGGTCTTGAGAACTGGAAATTTAAAAGAACAGACACATGTCCATCTTTCAAGTGGCAGCATATTTCAATCTTTCAACAAGTGGAGTTCTCCTACCAGACCCCTCCAAATTAACCCAAATTCAATGACTTTTCACTTCCAAACCTCAATATTTTCATTTTCTTGTAATAAGAAATTAACTCAAAATAATTACATGTTCTAATTTTTTGTAATTCTTATGAATTTTACTGTAAATTCTGAAAACCCAGAAAGTATTGAGAGTATCTTTGACTTCTTCAATGGCTGCTGAAGCAGAGAAAACCAAGAGACAGAGATTTTACATTGAACTTAAACATGGTGAAACAACCATTGTTTCTTGGAAGAAGTTACTCAGAAAAGCAAAGGAGAAGGATCAATGTGGACCCCACTTACCTCCTTCAACTGCTCTTGAAACTACCAGAGGAGCTATGGTAATTGTTCTGTTTCTGCAAATTTGCATTACAATTTTTTTTTTTTAAAAACTTTTTATGTTGGTTGTGAGTTTACTTTATGTTGTAATCAATTTGATGTGAAATTAGTAGTTGCTGTGTTAGCATGCATGTGATATGCGAGAATTAAATTCAATTGGGATTATAGGGGTAATATAATGTTCAATTTTGATGTAGGGATTCAAATTCTACTTAGGTTCAAATTTATTTGTTGTATTAGTAGTTCAAATTACCGTATCAACGTGACAATTAATTCCGAACTTGTTGGACTGGGGGAGTAGTCTATATATACTTTAAGCTACTAAGCAGACTTGTTGTGGCATAGTATAGTTGAGTGATAGTAGTTCAGTCAAATTGGTCTATCAATGTGATAATTAATTCCGGACCTAGATGGAGGGAGTGCAGTTTGTAAATCCTTTCTAGCAGTCTTATTGAGGCGCAGCAGTAGCTGGTAGATCCTTACAATACCATACCAAAACAAGGATACTTATGTTGGGAATCCTAATACGTAGTAAAAAGCATTGGTGCTCCATTGAAGCTGTATATCGTGTGTTTTTTATCGTTGCAACTTTAGCTGCAATAATGTGGATGATTTGTGGTAACTGAGAATATTGTGCTGGCTATTCCCTCAATCTAACATTAAGGGGCCGTTTGGTTCGCACAGGGGAATCGGAATAGAGAATGAAAATCCCCAATTTTGGGGTGTTGTTTGTTTTTAATAACAAAGGAATGGATTGAATAAAAGGTCACCAATCCAACCACCTTCACACCACCACATCACCACCTTCACACCAACCAACACCACTGAAAACCAGCCCAGACCACCGCCGCCCCTCCCCCGACCACCGCCAACTCTCCCCCGAGCCTCGCCGTCCTCCCCTCCCCCAAAAAAAACCACCCCTAGCCCCGATCTCCCTTGACCCAGAAATTCGCCGCCCAACACCACCTCACTCCTTCACTGCTCCCATGCTCCAATTCAAACACCAACCCGCAAAACTCACACTCCAACCACCAATTCACCGCAGCCAGCCACCAACCATCACCAGCCGCAACTGCATCTGCTAACGAACAACCCTAATCGCCAACAATCGCAGCGATTTACGCCGACTAATTGGAGTTTTTCGGGGCTGGGGTGGAGTTTTTCGAGGCTAAGTTCAGGGCTAGGTGGGGTTTTACAAGTTGGGGTGGAGGTATTCGAGGCTGGGGGTAGAGTATTGGGTGGTGTTTTACGGGGCTGGGTGGTTTTTTCGGGGTGGTGGTGTTTTTCAGGGGTGCTAGTGTTTTCGTGGCTTGGGGTTGAGTTTTTTGAGGTTAGGTGGTGTTTTCAGGACTAAGTGGGGGTTTTCAGGGTGGTTCTGGTGTGGTTGGAGAGTTTTTTCGGGTGAGGGGAGGGCGGCGAGGGTCGGCGGTGGTCGGGGGAGGGGCGGCTGTGGTCAGGGTAGGGGCGGCGGTGGTTAGGGTTGGTTATCCGGTGGTGTTGGTAGGTGTGAAGGTGGTGATGTGGTGGTGTGAAGTTTGGCAGGGAAAGGGAATGGAAAAGTCTAGGGGGGTGGGGAATGAAGTTGGAAGGATTTGGGGTAACGGAGAGGGTAAAGGGAATGATTAAAAGTGCTTAACAAACAACAACAAAGGGAATCGGGGCAGTTGATTCCCATTCCCTTTCCTGAATACCCCCAACCAAACGGCCCCAAGGGTTTTACTTAACTTGGATTATCTATGTATCAGTTTCCGTTTTGCTACAGGTGACTGAATATTGAACCTGTGACTGATGCACTTGCTACAAATCTGCACATTGTCACGTATCTGTTCAGGCACCCGCACCAAGCTTAGCAAGCCTGGCATATTGTGGAAATTTTGCATATTATTGACCTACCTGATATGTTCAAGGGTATCCATATGCATGCTGTAGAGTTCATTTATGGCACTTAGGGCCTCTTTTATGGGCATTAGTGATGTGGCAATGTGGCATGAAGTTTTCTATCTTATGCAAGATTCAGATTCATATTGGTAGGTTCAATTAGAATGGCTTGCAGGGTTTTCTTGTTCACTGCTTCTGATAAAGCAAGTTCTATATATTTGCGCAAGAAACCATATTCCATTTGTTTGATATTGGTTTTGAGACATATTTCTCTCTGGATTCAGGATGGGAACCATGATGGTGGCCTGTACAAGGATTCTTTCATTAGGAATAGAAGTGCCAATGGCGCCAAACATATGTATGATACTCCTCCCTCTTCTCTGTTATGATTATGATTGTCAATAGTTGATGCTTGCATTTTGAAAAAACTTTTCTGAAAAACCTGTTCACCCCCAAAAATTCTTCTATATTGATACCTTCATTTAATAATTTTTTAAAAAATCTTTCTGCTATCTTTGTTTGAGATGGTTTATAGTTGAGCTTACAATGTCATGTAGATGAGTGTCAACTGTCAAGTGCCTCAAGTTTATCCTCTAGCCACAAGAAATCTTTGGGGACTATTTGACGGATTTTTTCTGTTAAACTTTTCGTGGTCCTCTTTAAGATTTATATTCTGTTAAGACTGTTGGTGAACGTAACCTACTTCATAGACCTTAGAATGTTTCTTCATGTCCTCAGAAATAAAGACATATCATCAGATTGCATGCAGCCGAGAAAGGGAAGAGTAGAAGTGACGAAAATTGAATGTAAGAAGAATGATGGTCATTCATCAATTAAACATGCAGGATGGGAGAGCTTGAGTGCAAAGGCCGCTTCCAAGTCCAGCAATCTGTCAGACGAGACCTTTAAACAATCTAGTTCACCTGCTGTGGTAAAAGATCATCGATCCAAAGACCTGCAATTTAGAATGGATGCCCCTGTCTTGACCTATTCAAAGAAACCTGACAGACTTTGCAGTAGATCCAAGTGTCCACCTCTGAATGCAATTTATGAGGATGCTTCTATGTTTCCGTTGAATACAACACATAATTTCCTGCAGATGACTCAGAAGATATCTTCTGAGAAAATGAAAGTAGAAGTTGGAGGTGATTCGTCTGATATTGTGCATCAGAACTTTGAGGGTAGATGTGTTCCTGTGAAAAACAGCCCTACATCTGGGATGTTGTTTCATAATAAAATATCTTCCAAAAAATGGCATAATGACAAGAGTTGTGATTACAGGGGACTCGATGCCATTTTACCCGGCTACAAGTCTTCATTGAAAGATTCAGCAAGTATCAAAGTATCTGAAAATTGTGGCATCAAAGATGTTATTTCACCAGCCTACAAACCTTCAATGAAAGATTCAGTGAGTACCAATGTGGATCAAAGATTTTAGTATATCTTATATTTATAAACTTGGTTTTTATTTTGTATTTCGTAAGGAATCTTATATAAGGCTGCAGTCATTTGAACATCCCTACGACTATGTAGTTAGTATCATCTTTGTTGTTTGCTGCTTCATGCATGTTGTACGAATATTTTTTTTCTTTAAATGACTACCTTAGAGATTTATGATGCTAATTCCTTTGAGTTTGTGTATTTCTGGTGTAAATGCATGAGGCTGTTCAGTAGTGTTGGCACCCAAGTAAAACTGATGTGGTGTTTCTGTGGTATTAGAAAAATGTCAGAGCACCTGTTAAATGTTAATACATGTCTCATGTGTAGAGCCCATCACTGTCTGTGGCTTGCTAGTGTTGCTACCAAACAAAAATCCTTCGGTACCAATTAGTCTGAGATAGGAATTGTTGTGCATACCTCACAGAATAGCTTCCTGCGCTCTATATGAGAGCACAAAATTCAAATACCAATGCACTCTCTTTGGTGACATTGAAAAAAGATTGTAGAGAGATACTCCGTAGAAGGATATTCTGTACAGACCGAAAGTTAGAGTTGATCTTTTATTTTTGTGGTATCGATGTGACGCTCCAATTAAATGCATTTTGTATTTTCACGGTATTTTAATGTTCCCTATTTGATCAGCTTGTAGGGTTATGGCCTGGAGTAATGGATCACCATACTTTGACGGAAGCAATGAGCAGAGCAAAAAGTAGAAGAGCAATATCTGATACAAAACCGGTAAGCTTCATGCTTTTTACTGGCCATATTTTGAGGTTCTTATACTTGGATAATATGTATCCTTATTTCTGCTGAGAAACCACACCCTGGGGTATAGAAGTTTGGAATTTTATAATACTTGTTGAGCACAAGAAATAGCATGATACGGAGTAGTAAATGTTGTACACTTGTAATCCTGGAAAGTTTTTGTGCTGTTTTTGACGGTATGAAATTTAATTAGTGAGTTCTAAATATTTGGAATATGCTGCTTTGTCAATATCGCTATAGCCTATACATACAAGTCGGGTGTTAAGCTGCCAATAGAAAAGCCAAATTATAGCTTTTTCATCTGTGCCTAAAGTATATTCAAGAAAATAACATGTCAATGCACTATTGCTTGTCAATTTTATATGCCAATACATAACAACTCGATGAATGCACAACCTTAAAAAGACACCTTAAAAGCTGAGCTGGTGTCTGCTCGTAAATTTTAAATTCGAGTCGTTCTTTTAAGGGATTTATTTAAGAAGGTTGGTTTGTGGGATTTGGCATCTGTTGATTATCTATCCATCTATCTAGCTCATACAATTGAAGGATAAGGTTGAACTTGTTTATTTTCTTTGTTCAGGTTCGAAACATGGTGAATGATGTTTCTAGAAATTTCAATCGAATTCCTTGCCAGAAGAGGAAAGTTACTGATTTAAGCAACAGCAGTAATCCCATTCCTTATTGTCCCAGAAAGATAGCTCCTAAAAAGGCATTAATAGAGCAGCCTGTCCTACAAAGCAAGAGTTCTTGTCCATTTCCAAAGAATGTGAAACTAACTTTTAAGCAGAAGCAGCAGGTCCCTGAGAAAACAAATATGAAAGTCAGATTCCTTTTGAAGCAGGAGCATGAAGCTATCAAATCTAACGCGCAAGTCACCAAAGACACATTGGATCACTCGAGAACTGCTGCTTCTCTGACGTGCAATCAACCAATTTGATATGCACATCCTGTGAATAATGCATATATTCTCAAAGAATAGCGATCTTCGTAGCAATCGTTTAGGCTAATGATATCCCATAGGACAACACCATGCATAATTTAGGTTAGAAGTGTAAGTCTAGGGGAAAGTTTTGGCCCTTTTTTTCGCTAACTGCAGGTTTGTGATTTCCCCTACCTTACAGTTGTCCTGACTGGGAAATTTTGGTGGTCTTGTAATCTTATATTTTGTTTATTAAACGATTGAAAAAACACTAAAACCTTAAGTTATAGTTCCTGAAACACAAGCACCAAAATAATCAAACTCTTCATTTTACCTCAAGTATGTGTGTCGGATTCTCGACACTTGGACATGGGTATGACACTTGGACACTTCATATTAGTTCAAAATCATAGAAATTTTTCACAAAATAGTCAAGTTGGACACTTGGACACGTACCCGTGTCGGACATAAGTAGCCGAGTCTGAGTAACATAGCCAAAATGGGCTTAGGATAGTAGACTCCATTTGTAAAAATTGCTATTTGGGCCAGCCCACACCCTTCAAATGCTTGGTACTTTTGGTCCAAATACATAATTATTTGACTAGATGAGTGAGTACTTAATCCAATAGACTGCTAATCAAGGTGATCAACTGATTATGATTTCAGAAGTTCCATCATTCTCAACTAATTATTGATATTGTTTTTTTTTTTGACACAAAATTATTGTTATTGTTATTGTACACTTATAATCGTAAAGTTAGTAATCGTTCTAATGAGTTCTTAAAGATTGGCCTATTGCCTACACAAATTCACCTATAGGTCGGATTTAAGTAGCTTTGGCTTCAAAAGTATATCATACAACTGATACAAGTACTTATCATTTCTAAAAATCAGTTGCAAAATTGGCTAATGGTCAGTATGCAATATTATTATTTTTAAAATGCGAATTACTACGTATATTATAAAACAGGTTGACTAACCGACTACAATGTCTACAACTACGAGTACTCCGTACTTTTTTTTCTTAAGGGGACACTAACTACAAGTACTTGTACTACTTCCACTTTATATTTTTTGCAACTTTTGCCAAAAATGAATGCTACACATTACTCCGTATTTGCTACTAATGTTATTTCCTTTTTAGATTGTCATTTATCTCTATATATTTCCTTATCACATGCATTTCTATTTTATCTCAGTAACTATATTCACAAACAAATTTTACATTAAATCCGTACACCCTTTAAAGTTAAAAAAAAAAATAAATTGAAATATGGGTATTATATTTTGTCTACGCGTAGCTCATAAAATTTAAAATGAAAATAAAAAGGTAATTTTATAAAATTAAAGGCGGCAAGAAAGGAAAGTGAAAAGCCCAAAATGTGATTTCTCAAATTTGTTTCAACTTCAAATTTAAAACTGCTCCCAATTTTCACCGCTCACATCTCCACTTTCTCTCTCATCACACCATTTTTCATATTCTCCAAAACCGCTTCACTCCCTCTCCTCCACCACCACCACAGCCGTCGCACCTTCCACCACGACGTCGAAATGTCGGGGAAATTCAAGCGAAAAGGCGATGATAACCACGCTTCCGACGCCGATTCCGACGGAAACGCTCCTCCTAAGAAGTCTGCTAAATCCAATGACGACGAAGATGGAATTGTTGTTTGCGAGGTTGTTTTTTCTATCTCTAATGATTGAATTTGGAGTTGATTATTTGTTTGGTTCGGTTTTTAATTGATTTTGAATGATTGTTGAACTTAAACCCTAGATTTCGAAGAATCGGAGGGTTTCTGTGAGGAGTTGGCAGGGGAAAGTTATGGTTGATATTCGTGAGTTCTATGTCAAGGATGGCAAGCAAATGCCTGGTCGCAAAGGTATTTTTATTTAATTTGCGACTTTTTGGATTCATTTTCGGTAATTTTGCTGGTTTTTTAAGTGTATTTTTGGTGTAAATTGTCAGTTGAGTTTTTTCTAGGGTTTATGTTTGGTTGTTTAGCAAAATTGCAGAGAATTATAAGCTGGTAGAATTTTTTTGGATTATTTTTGCTCATGTTGAGTGTATATGGTGGTTTTGAAGTTCTGTTATTGCATGCCAGATTTTCTTAGGTTAGGTTTTGCGTTTTCATTGAATTTGAGTAGTAAATTATGTGCTATTGTTGTTGCAATTCAGTTTTTAGTTGCCTAGGTTTTGCGATTTTTGTTGATTTTCTCATGAGCTGGTAAATTATACCCTTTCTTGAACCGAGGATTTGTAGATATGTTGAATAAAACTCTAGAATTCCTCGAATTTTCGACTTATAGGAAGTGCTTTAGTTATTTCCTTGATTAATAGGTGGATTTTTATGCTGAGATTGGTGACTTTTAGCATCTTGAAGACTTAGCCCACTTAGGTTCTTGAAGGCAATCCCCTGTACTAAGTAAAGGAGAAATTATGTCGTAGTTTTCTGGTGATTTGATAGTTGAATATTTAGCTTAGTAAGATCATTCAGGTTTTCATGGTGTCTGGAATTTGTAGTGGTGGCATGCTGTAGACTCTTACCTCACATGCATGAGAGGAAGGTGCAGCTAAATGCTTTATAATAGATTAATAGGATTTGCCTGTCATTATTGGAACCTGGACTTTAAACTTGTATTATAATTTGTTGTTTAGTGGATTGAGGTGAGGTTGATTAGGGAGGGGTAGTGGATTGTGGATCAAGCATATGAAGAGATTGGAGACAAAGTCGCAAGCTCATAATATTGTTGTTACATCAACTGCCTGTTTTATTGGTGGAATAGTTGCAGACCCCTTCCCTTTTTATGCAGGAATTTGGAATGTGGTATCATGAATTTAAGAGCATGGTTTTAGCAGAATGTTTCTATTGGATTCTTTTATAGTTTGATTTATGGTTAATGGTTAGCAATTTAGCATCCAAGTGCTGTTGCTGCAAGCTCTCCAAGTCATTTTTGACTGATTTTGAAATATTTGGCCAATAGTTACCATTTTTCTCTGCCTTTTGCCCCTTTAAACTTGGTTTTTTTTTTTATGATAGATGCTTAGACTGGTATCCTCTCCCTTCCCTGGGGGAAAATATGCTCCAATTGAGGAGATTATAATTGCTGATTTGTTATGCTTAGTCTTGTAGTTGCAGTATTATATTTATTGTGCATTATAAGAAACTTGTTCTGAACTCTGGAGTATAGGCTTGAGCTTCTTGAGTGCTTGACTGCATGAGTCAGGTCTTGCACTTGGCATTGCTTTTGTTGATGTTATGCTGATCTTGTCTTCTGTAAATAAAAAAGTTGTTACAGAATAAAATCATTTATTCAGTTTTAGAGCTTGCTTGTTTACAATTGTATTGGCAATATGAGCTTTAGTCCGCCGAGGTGTACTATTAACTTGGCAATTAATTTTAGGCGGTGAGAGTAGGTTGTTACTTTGTTGAGACCTTGTCCATATTACTTGAAAATCAACTACGGAGTACAGTATTTGCTGTCATCTGATTTGTCTACATTGCATCTAGCATCTACTTCCCATATCATGCTTAGCACAATATGGTATTCAACTATACTAGTATTTATTTTGCATATATCTGTATATTAAGTCATTTCCAATGAAATATTGTATGGAATAGAATGTTTGTGAACGCACACATGCAGTGATGCAGGAAAACTTGTTTAAACTCTTTAAAGCACCTAGGAAAAAGAATTAATGGAGACTTGCTTCTTATTTGAAATATAGTATAATGTTTATTAATGTATGCTTTGCCCTAAAGAATTTGGCTGGGTTCAATAACTTTGTTTTAGACCCCCGCTCTCAACCCCACGTCCCCACCTAACATTTACTATGCCTTGCAAAGGGTTTCTGTCACGTTTCTGTATGATGTTTTCTGCTGCAGCTAAATGAAGCTGTGTATTTTTTTTACTGATCTGTAGTCATTGCTCATTTCAGGTATCTCTCTTACCATGGATCAGGTATGTATCTTTGCTAACTGGCTACAATTAGTTTCACTAATCACTATTATTATTTCTGCTGTGTTTTGTTTGCAATTGGATTCTGACCTTTGTTTTTTCATTGGATCCTGTAGTGGAAGGTGCTTTGTGAGCATGCTGAGGAGATTGATCAGGCTGTGACTGAGAATACGTAGGGCTGGAGGGCTGGGCTTTGTCGATATAGTTCTTGGATGCTGGTTTTGGGTTGTTACATTTTGCTGACTAGGACTGCGGCAATAGGTATTAGTGTAATTTCGGCTAGTATTCTGTATTTACGTAGGGTTATTGGATAATGTAATCTGCATAGCTTAGACTTGAAAGAACAATATCTCATGACTGCAGGTTGTCCACCTGTTTACGGATGCCTACAGACTATTTTGTTAAATTGCAGTATGTGCGTATTATGCTTATTAACGGAATACATTGATGAGGCAGTTTTAATACGGAGTACACTACTTAATTGTAACAAAAAGTTGTTTCACTATTATAGAATCATATAACAACCAAGTCGTCATACAACTTTAAACATACATAGAAAGCAGATTTAAAAGTAGAGCTTCTTATTTACCTAGAACAATTCCGAAGAAAAGCTCTTAAATTATACCCAGCTCGAATTGAGTGTTCAATGCAGTTCAGAAGACATTACACATGTAATGGCTCAGTGAGCTGAGCTTTATATAGATCTAACTGGAATGTGGATAAGTTTGTGCTCAAACTTTATAATTTTAGGCACAGTTATGTAGAGAACGCCATTCTTAAACACAGCGGTGATCTCTTCCTTCCAAGAGTTGAAAGGCAGGTGAAGTGTGGTCTCTCTTGGACTGAATACCTTGTTTCCGAAAGCATCAATACCGCCATCTCCCCTGATCACAAGCATGTTATCCACAACTTCCACTTTGATGTTCTCAGCTCCTAGTCCTGGCATGTCAAACCACATTCTTATCTCACTTTCATCCTCGGTTGTGTTCCAGGGAGTGCGCACTGTAAAATAAATACATTTCGATAAATTCTTTGTCAACGTTTGTAAAGTTTGATCACAAATCAGATCAACAAATCTACAACAAGCAATGGGAAAGGCGATGAAATATATCTAGGAAACATTGAATATGCACACCATGTTATTAGATTAGTTTCAGAAAGAATGGGAGATTTACCATAAGGGGATGTTTCAAGTAGGGCAACTTTTTTGTGGAAGTGTTCAGGTGCCATAGGATCAATCCTCTTAGGACTAACCCCGCCCTGTTGGGCTCTTACCACCAACGAAGACCTCGAAGAAGGGGTCTTCAATGACGGTGTTGAGGACACCACAGAAGGTGAGCCCAACCCAGCTGGTACCGAGCCACGGACAGAGGCTGCCCTGTTGATTGACACTAAAGTTGAAGCAGAACATGCCGTCAACACGTTGCTTGCCATTGAGTATGCTTAAGTAGAGCTTGCTAAGAATAATTTCTTCGCTTAATCAATGTAAATATCTTGAGTTTGTATGTTTTGACTAACTCATTTGAATGGGATGTATTTATAGGTATAGCAGAGGAATAGTTAAGTTGAATTCTTGAATTCTTAATGTTTGTGTAGCAGTGTTTTTTTTCACTTTATGCATTAAGAAGCCTCATTTGTTCCTAACATGTTGATGCTCTTTACTAATTGAAAGCAAAGTAATTAAGATTCTCCCAACAAAATTAGAAACATATATATACTAAATATTACAAGTACCAATATTTACATACTTTAAGAGTTGTTTATAAAATGTACAGATCTTACCATATTCAAGTTGTTTGTACTTGCATGTTATTATACTTGAAAGAAAAATGAAGATATGCCCCCCTATTAACTTTTATTCTTGCTTTATTAAGAATATATTTTGTTCATATTATGTTTTGATGGTGCTAGCTAGATTTTGGATTACCACTTTTGGCAACTAGGGGTTCTTTCTTCATATTTTTTGTTAACCTTCGCGTTAAAATATGATCGAAATAATTTGAGAAAACAACATTTTTATAAGAATAATGTAAATGGAACATTAAGAATGTAGTTATGCACTTATACATATTAAGAGCTTTTATAATCTTCAATGCATGGAAATTTTGAGCTTAATTAAGTTGTTTGCCTACGGCTATGACTCTCTAAGGCACCATGATCCCAAAAATTATAACACCATAAATGTAAGCATCCATTGATGAAACGACAAATAAAGAACTTTTAGTGAGTTCGTTTTAAGTGGATTGTTTCTCCTACTATCAATTGGTATTAGGACGAAACCTCACTTGGCCATATTAAGCGACGTTTATATGCTCTTTTATTTGTTTCTCCCCCCCATCCTAACACCTTCTTATGATCATGGGTTTATTATTATTCAAAACCAATGAAGGCAAGAGTATTATTACTTTATTATATATAGAGGATATGTCATATATGTACCTTTCTTTGGCATTTTACGTCTTGGATTCTTGTCATGCATACCATGTATATTGTGAAGCAATTTGCTATGGATTATATAGCTTCTCCTGGTCTCACACTCAAAGCCATTTAGATATTGAACTACATTATATTTTCCATACATGCTTAATTCTAGATAACTTTATATGGACTAGTTTTGAGAGAAGATTTTCCTAACTTCTCATTTATTTTTAAAATCCGAAAAAGAAGCCAGCCTTTTAGCACCATCAAATGCTACAAGTTTATGTCTTATAATCCAAAAGTACAACTTAGCTTGAATGCTCGATCATTTCTCTATATAAAAAAAATTACTCCGTAGATTATACACGTGTTAATGCACAAGGTACTTGCTTCAAAGATTATTCTAATTATAATTATTAAAATAATTAACTTCGTTATTGATTTCAAAAATATCAATACTTCCGGGAAGAAAATATATAAAAGCTCAGGTATATATAACCAGAGTAACTTTAAATGTTATTTAGATAATAAATTTTTTTGTATACATCCGGTTTACACTAATATTAGTGTACATCGAGTAGTATAAGGGTAACTTTTAGCTAATTTTAAGGTAACTTTTTGTCTTTTTTTGGGTAACTTTAAACATAACATAATTTTTATATAAATCAACAACAAGAAAAATTTTATAAAGGTAATTTAATTACATTCAATCACTAATAATTGATTTTTAGTCATTTAAAATTTGATTCTTTACTAATAAAGCGTAGATAATTTTTATTTGAATTGGGTTACTTTAACTCATATTGGGGTAACTTTTATTCATTTCAGGGATAACTTTTAATCACTTTAGGTTATCTTTATAATGAATGTAAAATAATTCATCCCATTTTTTTTAAAGTTTGTGTTTAGATAATCAATGGTACACAATTTCCATTGAGATTGAAAAGATGGATATTTACTCAACACAACACAACACAACGCAAATAATATATACAAGTATACTCTTTAACAATTAATTATTTTAATTAATGTCTTATTATATTAGAATACTTAAATAAGTCATACAAAGTACAACTTATAACATTGAAAGGAAAATACATACTTAGAGAGCTTCTCTATTACATAGCATCTCAAAGAAAAGCTCTTAAAACACACTCATAATACGAAGTATATAATTCAGTCTCCTATACATAAAACACTTCATATAGAAGACACTAAAGTAGATCTCTATTATGAGATTTAAACGGATCTAACTGGAACATGGATGATTTTGTGCTCGAATTTGGTGATCTTAGGCACAGTAATATAGAGAACACCATTCTTAAACACGGCCGTGATCTCTTCCTTCCAAGAGTTAAGAGGGAGTTGAACCCTACTATCATAAGGGCTAAATATCTTGTTTCCAAATGCATCAACTCCACCGTCTCCCTTGATCACTAGCAAGTCGTCGACAACGTTCACATCGATGTTTTCAGCTGCAAGTCCTGGCATGTCAAACCACATCCTAATCTCGTGGTCATCCTCGCTCGTGTTCCAGGGAGTGCGCACTGCAAATCAACAAGTATCATAATATATGTCATTATTACGTTATGGTTTATAATAAGCAATTCAGAAACAAGTGGGATCAATTGAACCATTTCTAATAATAGAAAATGCTCTAACACGTACTAATGTTAAATAAACTTGACAAGACTGACTCGTATCTCATTTCTCAAATCATATTATCTAACCCTAACCATGACGTGTGCATTTTAATGTTACAAGCCATAAAAGATTTATGTATGTACATTTTTACCCAAAACTAGTAAAAATATGCAATTAACCTTTTTTTTTTTTTGGTAAAGTAAGAAAAATGAAAAAGTAAAATGTAAGAAGTGGATTACTTACCATAAGGAGAAGTTTCAAGGAGAGCAACCTTTTTGTGGAATTGATCAGCTGCTATGGGATCCAATTTCTTAGGACTTCCTCCTAGTTGGGCTCTCACCACCATCGAAGGAGTCTTCGAGGACGGTGCTAGGGACACCGTGGAACGTTGGCCGAACCCAGCTAGGGCCGGGCTACGGCCGGAGACCGTGTGGTTTGACACCATAGTGGCAGAAGCAGAACATGTCAATGTGTTGCTTGCCATAATTGAAGATATTCAAATAAAAACTTACTAAAATAATTAAATCACTAAAACAATAATAATGTAATAAAATTAAATAAATATTGCAAGTTGTTGTATGTTTTGTTCAATCATTGGGAGGTTATTTATAGGTCTAAGTGGAGTTAATTTTACGTACATTGCTAATTAGTTATAATATAGTTTTTTTTGTAGGAGAAGCTTCTAATCATAACATTGATATATATTCTCTTTACTCAAATTAAAGCAAAGTAATGCGGCTTCTCCTAGCAAAAAGATGCATATAGTACAATATAAAAAAAAAGTTACAGACGTGTAAATATAATTAGTACGTACAATGTTTATTTATTTATATTTTTATTACTTTATAACTATTTACAATGTTCATATATTTACTTTTCAAAGAGTTAAGTACGTGATTTGCGTTAACAGGGGGAAAACGTTGAGTAAATAAAGAGAATGGAATTTCTACTATTTGATTTCTCCTCCCCTACCGATTTGAGACAACCTTAATAGTTAATACCTTTTGTTTTCATTATTGATTGTTAGAATATTTCTTGAATTAGCTAGTAATTAAGCCCCTATCAAAGGACTATGTAAGCTAAATAGGAGTATAGAACATTTTCAGCTTTAGGCTCATTTTTAGGCCTATTTTGAAGAAGGCTAGCTCGAACAAGCCTTATAAATATCTCTGTGATTATTTTTAGGGAAATTCTCAATGGTACTCTTAAGCTTTTTATTTTTCTCAATGGTAAACATCAAAAATTCGAATTATCTTTGGTAATCAACAATTTATGTTATTAATAAAATGGTGGCATTAATGAAATTAATCTACAATTTTAAGCCTAACTATAGTTAACTAAAGGCAAAATGACAAATATATCCTTAAAAATCAGATTTTATTTTATTTTTTTAACAATTAAATTATTTTAAAAAAAAATTAAAAAAATCATTACAATTTCCCTCAGCCATCACAACCACCCAATCGCCAGCCACCACAGCTAGTCAACCGCCAGCCACCACCCAAGCCCAGCCCAACCTCGATCCCCCTTCCTCGGCGCCGATTGCGCCCAGACCCCCTTGCGTCGGTGCCCATGAACCACCAGCTCCTCCCTACCCCCACGGAACCCTAAACTTTCTAAAAAACCATCCAAACTCTCGAAAAACCCCCACCGGAACCCTAGCAATGGTCGGGGAGGGCCGATTAGGGTTTTTCGAAGGTGGGTTGATGGTTTTAGGGTGTTTCGTGGCGGGAGGTAGATGAATTTATGCGAAGGGATTGGGTGGTTCGGTGTTCAGCACGGCGAGGAAGGTTTTGGTTGCGCCGACGCCAGGGGCGTTGAAAAGCGGTGGTGCTGGGCTGTTGGGGAATGGGTGGTTTAGTGGTTGCAGCGATAAGAGGTAGGGGGTTCAACGTGGCGCCGGCGCCGGGGAGGGGATCTTAGTGGGCATAGTCGGCGCCGGCTGGGAGTAGGGGAATTGGGCTGGCCGGGCAGAGGTGGCAGGGGAAAGAAGTGGTGGTGGGTTTTTGTAAAAAAGGGTAGTTTAGACATTTCTCTTTTTCCTCCTTTTAAAAACATAAACCATGGTTAATATTTTTTAAAATGCTTAACTAATGTTACCACTGAATTAGTTTTATAAATTATGGATTACCATTGATAATTTGATATTTTAGTGTTTACCATTGAGAAATATAAAAAGCTTGAGAGTACCATTGAGAATTTCCCTTATTTTTATTATAATGCAGAAAATGGTGATCAAAAGAAGAAGGTTGGCTCGAACAAGCCTTATAAATATCTCTATGATTACTTTTATTATAAAGGAGACAATGGTGACACGAAGGCTAATAGAGTGACATTCAAAACCAAACCCGATGATGAAAAGGATTCTAAAGAGACTCTACCCGTTCATCCAAATTCACTTCATCACCATCATCCTCACCATTTCATGCACAATGATAATAATGTAAACATAGAAGAATTGAGCTCGACGACTTCTTCTAGTGACACGTTATTTTTCATAGAGAAAAACTTGCAAGTTGGAATGAAGTTGCCACAAGATTTCCAAAAGATTCAAATCCGCCCTATTTTGCCTAAACACATTGTTCAATCCTTCCCCTTCGCCTATGAAAATTTCACAGATATACTCTCTTTATTTTCCATTAAATTCGAGTCTGAAGATGCCATCGATGTTAAAGACACCCTCCATCTATGTTTTAAAAGACCAAAGAGTACAAAAGAAATCAGGTATTTTTTTTTTTTGAAGAGTAACATATATTAATGATCAAAGTTGAGCATTATTTTTTTTTATTTTTTTAATTTTTTTTAATTTTTTAATGTTTTTTAACAGTTAATAATACAAAATAATGTGTATTTGAATGACAGTACTTGTGCGCAATCCATAGAGGAGGTTGTTGATTTTGTGGTACGAGAGTTGGGCACGAATGAAGTAGAGGTAAAAACAATGGACAAAAAGATGGAGGTGCCTAATGGAAGACAAGATTATATGATAAAAAAGGTGAAAAAATTGGATGTACCGGGCAATAATGCAGCAGTATGCCATAGGATAAGATATCCTTATACTGTGTACTATTGTCACCACCAAATAGGCATTGGCCATTACGACGTCACTTTGGTTAGCCTAGCGGGTACTGAGGTCCAGACTACGGCTATATGTCACTATGACACATACGCTTGGAACCCTAAGTCCACACCCCTTCGCGCCCTTGGTCTTAAACCCGGCGATTCACCACTTTGTCACTTCGCTTTCTTAAATGACATGTTTTGGAATATCAAACCCGCCGTCTCCAACTCTCTCGACATGGCTCAGTAAGAGTAATCGTATGATTGTGCAATTGTAGTCCTAAGCGTATGCTACTATGCATGTTTCTTGTTGTTTGATCATGAAATAATGTTGTATGTTGTACGTGTGTGGTTTAGGCCCCGTTTGGTTTAATGTAAAACATTTTCAATGAAAAATTAGTTTTCATGGAAAACATATTTTCAAGGAAAAACACAATTGCAAATTAGTTTTCCTTTGTTTGGTTGCATACAAGAAAAGTCCAAGAAAAATAAAAAATAAGAGTGGAAATGTAAGGATGAATGAGAGGGAAGTAAAAAAAGAGGTAAGGAGGAGAGAGGAAAATATGACTTTCCTTGTTTTTAGAAGGAAAATGTTTTCCATCATTAAGGATGAAATTTTCCACCTTTGAAAAATTGTTTTCCACTCCTTAACAAACCAAACAAAGGAAAATGGGAAAAAAATGGAAAATTCATTTTCCATGAAAACATTTTACATCAAACCAAACAGGGCCTTAGAGTGAGATGCATTTTGTAATTTAAATAATTATGAAATGAACGGAGTTGTTTTATGTGCAAGCTAGTCATACTAACTTCAAATTGACCTGATATAAACGACATGATTATCACCTCTAATTACCACATAACATCATTTGTCTTATTATAGTATGTGGCTCGATTGAGTCCAACAAATGAGCTAGTCATACAACTTACAAAGTTACAAAATACATTTCAAATGTAGAAAGTAGTTTAGCTTCTTTCTAAATTACAAGCAAAGTAACTATACAAAGCATATAGCTCTTATATATATTACACACCATTTATATATGTATATATATATGTCTTCTAAAAAGTTTAGAAGACTCATTTCACAAGCAATAAGTTAATTATGAATAATTTTAAATGGATCTAACTGGAATATGAATAACTTTGTGCTCAAACTTGGTAATCTTGGGCACAGTAATGTAGAGAACACCATTCTTAAACACAGCGGTAGTTTCTTCCTTCCAAGCGTTAATAGGAAGTTGAACGCTACTATCATAAGGACCGAAAATCTTGTTTCCAAATGCATCAATACCCCCTTCTCCTTTGATGACGAGCAAATCATCCATAATTTCCACATCTATGTTTTCAGCTGCAAGCCCTGGCAAGTCAAACCACATCTTGATCTCGTGCTCATCCTCAGAAGTATTCCAAGGTGTACGCACTGCACACGAATCACTGATTATTTGTGGGGTATGTTTGAAAATCTAATTATAATCTATTTCAAATTTAGGAAAAGAGCCTAAAAAACTACTTCTAGGAAGGGTTAACATATATACTTACAATACGTATGATAGGCGGAGATAAAAATGTGGTAATTTTTTGTTCAGTTATAAGTACGTTTTATATGGACATAAATATTCAACCTGATTAATTTTTCAATTAAAGTAACAATATAGATTTATGAACAAAAACATATATTTGGAGAAATTAATGTATGCATCAATGTGTAGGAGTGACAATTTTAACTTATTAACTTTAGAAAGTGATCTATTATTTATTATGATACAAATACATTTTTAAGGAGACGGAGTGGAAAATTTTACCATAAGGAGTGGTTTCAAGTAGGGCAACCTTCTTGTGGATTTGTTCAGCTGACATTGGCTCAATTCTCCTTGGGCCTGACTGTTGGGCTTTCACCACCAAAGAAGGCCTTGAAGAAAGGGTCTTAATTGGTGATGGTGTCACAGAAAGCCCAGAATGTGGGCCCAAACCAATTAGTAATGGGCTGGACGAGGCCCGGCTCGACAGTAGAGTTGAAGCAGCAGAGCATGTTAACACTTTACTTGCCATTGAAGAAAAAGACCTAAACTTACTAAAAATAAACTTCACTAAAACAAATTGTTGTTTGTTTATTCATTGATTGGGAGCTATTTATAGACTTATAGATATGTAGAGGTATAAGTGGTAACTTGTTGAGTTATTGTCTTATGATGCTTTATCTTTTTGCTATAAGAAGCCTCATTTATATCACATGGATTGAAGGCTTCTCCTAGCAAAAAGACTCGTACAAACTATGTGAAATTGACTCCATCCAAATCGAATAGGCTAACTTAAACAAATTTATTATGACTAATGGTAATTGGTTATATTTTTTTTTTTTTTGAAGACTGGTATTTGGTTATATATTATTTAGCGATATTGCAAATGTTGCAGGATGATGAGGTAAATAAATTATGGAATATTTTAAATGATTTTTTTTTGGTATACATATAATTTAATCTTAATGCGTGCATTGTAATAAGTTGTTATATATCCACCTAATAATACGAAGTACTTGTTTTTGAGTATCTAACTCAGTCAATTAATTAATAGCTTAATACGTTATTATTACCAAATACCAATCCAAACAACTCAATTTTTGTGTGCCTTTAAGTTGAGAAATTGGGAGATGTCTTGTTACTTTGCTTAGGTTTGTGGTAAGACATCAATTCCACATACTTTTATCTTTTTTATATGCCAAAACCCCATTTATAGGAATTGAATATATGACTCAAGTTCACATGTCACGCATGTATTTTTTTTATATACAATAATTTTTTTGTTGAAATGCGAATTATTATTTGCAAGTTAAAGTTTTTTGCTGGAATTCTTATGATTAAACGTTTTAAAAAAGATGTTTTATCACTTATCAGTGTAGTTATTTATTACTTATATATTCTTAATATTTTATTTTAATTTCTTATATATAAGGGCTGCATTATATGTCTATCATTTTACTATTTAAAAAAAATGGAAAATATGGTGTGGGAAGAAAGATAGTTTTTCCCTTGTACTGTAAAGGGCCCTCATATAGTCATATGTCTGGTGTGATTGGAAATATACTAGGGGCGTGTTCTTTTAAATTTTTTTTTTTTTTTTTTTTTTTTTTTTTTGAAAGCCACAAAGGTGGGTGATGAGAATCGATCCCAAGATCTCTATCTTGTAATCGGGAGGGGAGCTCTAACCACTTGAACTATCCCTCACTCTCAATTTTAATTTAATGTGTATAAGTGGTGTTTTAAATATTGCTAGTATTAATATTTCCAATTTTAATTTAATGTGTATAAGTGGTGTTTTAAATATTGCTAGTATTAATATTTCCAATCCCTAAATACCTGTTATTAGGTAAAATATTGCTAGATATATTAATCGGATGAAATTTATAAAATTTTCTACATTTTCACAAAAGGTATTACAAATTATTACTGATCAAAGTTGTGCATAACTTACAAATATAAAAGCGAATATTTATGTAATTTATACCTAATTAAAGTATGCGTGTGCAATCCTTAGAGTATGTTGTTGATTTTGTCGTAGGAAAATAGGGGACAAATGAAGTTGACGTAAATACAAGGAACAGATACATGAAGGTGCTTAATGGAAGACATATTATGTTGTGAACTTATAATGTGGCCATAGAAATGATACGATCATATACCTATTATGTTGTGAACTTATGATGTACTATTGTCACCACCAACTAAGCTAGGCATCGGCCATTACGATGTCACTTTGGTTAGCCTGGGATCCTAACTTCCTAAGTCCCTGGCCCTTCGTGCCCTCAGTCTCAACTCGATTTCATCAACCCCGGCGATTCACCCCTATGTCCCTCCGCTTCCTTAAACGAGATTAACCAATAACCATATGATGATTGAGCTTGTAGGTGTATGCAACCATGAATTTAATTATATGGTGCACGTTTCTTGTAATTCAATCATGAATATAGTTATTAATTGTAAGTATGTGTTCGTTCTAGAGTCATGAGGTGCATTTTGTAATAGTTGTGACTACATAATTAGGAGTACGTGCAAGTATCGTTTCACCTGCCATAATTATGGCTATATATTCAAAGTGACATGATTTGATCTGTATGACTTAATTGTCTCCTTTAATAATTAACCACATAACATACATACATCTTTGTCTTATAATATACGAAGTAATTAATAAGTGGCTGGAGTCCAATATACAACCAATTAAGTAATAATACAGCTTACAAAATATATTTCAAAATTAAAATATACTTAGAACATCGAGCTTCTTTTTATTACAAAGTAAGGAGTACCTAATACAAAGTACATTTCTTATTACTCAATAAAACAAACGCTAGTTTTATAGGATAATTTTATAGCGGTCTATTAAAAATTCACCATAATATATTAATAATGCATGATTGATTGGTTAGTTTTTCCACATCATCATTTGGAAATAATAATACAACTTTCCAAAATAAGACATTTTGGAAATAATAATAAGAATTTCCAAAATAATAAAGATGGTTTAATATTTTGTATTAAAAAAAAGGAAATGAAAATGATAATATCGACCTTTTCTTAAAAAAAAAAATGATAATATGGAGTACGGACAAACTAATTTAGCCAATTATAATGCTCAAACCCTTTTCAAAAGACTACTGTAAAATTTTCAATTTATATATGTAATTATGAATAATATTAAGTGGATATAACTGGAATATTTTTAACTTTGGGCTCAGATGACTTGGTAACTTTAGGCACAGTAATATAGAGAACACCATTCTTAAACACAGCTGTAATTTCTTCCTTGACAGTATTAGTGGGAAGTTGAACCCTATTAACATAAGGTTCAAGAATCTTGTTTCCAAATGCATCAACATCCACATTTCCTTTTATGATGAGCAAGTCATCCACAACTTCCACTTCTATGTTTTCAGCTGCAAGCCCGGGCATGTCAAACCACATCCTGATCTCGCGCTCGTTCTCGGAAGTATTACAGGGCTTACGCTCTGCAAAATAAATGAATTATATGTGGCGGTATGTTCGGAAATATAATCATAATTGATTTCAAATTTAGGAAAAGAGCTGAGCCTGGACAACTATATCTAGGAAGGGGTAATCTATATATACTTACTTTGTATGCTAGACTGTGATAAATTGTAAGTACTTTTTTTTTTTAGCATAAATAGTATTCCATACTTTGTATTTTATTAGATACGGCTCATTAAACTAATAAACGTAAGATGACAGATTTATGAAGAAAAACACAAGTTTGAATATAGACATTTGTATAAGGAATGGCTAGTTGAAAGAATACCATACAAATTTAGAAAGTTATTAAGTATATTATTTTAATAGTTGAGAGAGCAATAAGGACAAGTAATAAGAATCGATATATATTACTCCGTATTATGAGTTGTGACCTGAATACTGCGTCTTTAAAATGTATCAAGGAGATCTCACCTATATACGTCACCATTGGCTCAATTCTCTTTGGACCTCCTGTCTGTTGGGCTCTAACCACCAAAGAAGGCCTTGAAGAAGGAATATTAATTGGTGATGGCATCACCAAAAGCCTAGAACGTAGGCCCAGCCCAATCGGTAATGGGCTTTTTGAGGCCCGGTTTGACATAGGAGTTGAAGCAACAGTGCATGTTAACACTTTGCTTGCCATTAAAGGAAAAAAAAAGGTAAAATTACTAAAAATAAACTTAACTAAAACAAATTTTGCGAGATAAAAATGTAAGTTGTTGTTTATTCATCGATTGGGAGCTTATTTATAGAGATATTTGTGGAGGTATAAGTGGTGACTTAATGAGTTATTGTATTGTGATGCCGTTTCTTTTTGCTATAAGAAGCCTCATTTCTTACACATGGATGGAGGCTTCTCCTAAGACTCACGTATCAAAAGTTAAAAAAAAAATTAAAAAAAAAATGTGAAAGTAACTCTACCCGGCCAAATCGAATAGTTGAGCCATTGAGGAAGTGTCACATAAACACATTTAGAAACGATTTTAAATATATAATACGTACTCCGTATAATCTTATTATTGTGATATATGAAGGTACATTATCTAATTAGTACATGCATATTACTAATAGACTAGTAGTACGTAGTGCACGACATTTGTTATAAAATTTTCGATCCAAACAATTTAAGTATTGTGTCTATGTTGTGAAATTAGGAGATGCCTCGTTACTTTGCTTAGGTTTGTGGTAAGACATCAACTCCACACAGTACAGCTATCTTTTTTATATGCCAAAACCCCATTTTTAGGAATTGAATCTGATTCAACTGCACTTATCACTTCATACAATCAGAAACTTTAATCAATCACGTCCATAGGACCATTAGGTCATTAGGACTTGCACTAAGCTAACATACGTTGTTTATTATTATTATTATTATTATTATTATTATTATTATTATTTAATTGGCAATATGTTTTAACTTTGTAGCCTAGTCATATAACTTACTTTGACTTGGTTTTGTCATTTAATGTTAAGATTGAAAACACATAATCATGTGAGGTTCTATTAGATTCGTCTCAATGTTTAATTTCTAAATATCAAAATTTTATTAATTTTGCTAAACATATATACATTTATGCCTAAATGGCATAGTCAACTAATTAATATGAGGCGGAAAAAGTATTATTTATATAAAATGCTCTCCAAAAATATCATAAAGTTTTCAAAATCACGTGTAGCGCATGCCCTTAATTAACTGGTATTCGTATGTCCCGTTCAAAAAAAAAAAAAAACAAACAAACTAGGATTGGTATGTAAAAAGTTAAAAACATATCTTATTGTATGATCATAAGATATTAATTAAGCAACAAAGTCATACAACTTGATACATTGAAGCAAAGAAGTATGAAGAGAGATTCTCTATCACACATAATTATTCAAATACAAGTTTTTAAACACACACAAAACCTAGTCTCCCATATAGAGTATTGAAGACATTTAATTCATAAATATGCAATAACTTGTGATGAGAAAATTAATTAAACGGATCTAACTGGAACATGGATGATTTTGTGCTCAAATTTGGTGATCTTAGGCACAGTAATATAGAGAACACCATTCTTAAACACGGCTGTAATCTCTTCCTTCCAAGAGTTAAGGGGGAGTTGAACCCTACTATCGTAAGGGCTAAATATCTTGTTTCCAAATGCATCAACTCCACCGTCTCCCTTGATCACTAGCAAGTCGTCGACAACGTTCACGTCGATGTTTTCAGCTGCAAGTCCTGGCATGTCAAACCACATCCTGATCTCGTGCTCATCCTCATTCGTATTCCAAGGGGTACGCACTACAAAAAAAAAAATACAGGAACAAATTTAATTGGAGCCTTGAATGTATAGTTATTATCGCAATCTTTCTATATCATGCATGATATAATTTAACCTGACCTATATATAGACAAGTGAGTCGACTGAAACTTTTTTAAATAATTAATGGACTAGGAAAATAGATTGATCCGTACTTGTATATATAGACAAGTCACAATGTGAATATGTGACTATGTGAGTACCAAAATTAACTAAATAACTCATATGATACTATATATGTACGACATAGGATATAATGTTGTCAAAGTTGGTAAAATAAAAAGGTAACTAGTGAAATATATAGAAAGATTCAACCTAGGGGTGGCAAACGGATCAGGTCGGGTCATATTCGTGTTCGGGTCATTTCGGGTTCGGGTTGAAACCCCCTGACCTGAACCTGATCTGTTTAGCATTTCGGGTCGAAGTTCTTGACCCTAACCCGATTTATTCGGATTCGGGTCAACCCGAAGTTGACCTTATTCAACCTGTTTTTTTTTTTTTTTTTTTTTTTTTTTTTTGGGTAGATTAAAGAAAAATTTATTACCAATAAAAATCTTAAAAACAAAAAGAAATCAATACAAGTTGAATCTCAACCTTAAATCTGTAAATCATAAATAAATTTAAATGTAATAAATTTACAACCAAAACTTCCAATTAAAGGGATTTGAAACTTAAATTTACAACAAAATTTTAACTTCTCAAAATCCTTCACATGCTGGTTTGCTGTTCGTTTTTTCTTGCAAACAATAACAAAAACACATTAATAAATATTCAAGTCATCAATTTAGATTATATAAAATACAAAATCAACTTTCAATAATATGTATATTCAATTCCAAAACAATTCAAACCATAAACACTACGACAAAGTAGTAGAAAGTAGATGCAATTTTCACCAATTTCATAAATAGCCATCTTAATATAAGAAATATCAAATCAAACAAGTAGATCTAGATATTAAAATACAAGCTAAGAACATCTAGATGTAAAAAAATTAATAACTAATGATGAATTCGAATATAAACAACAAATGACTTCGAAATTAAACAAAAATTAACATGTTAAAAACGAAAAAAAAAAAACCTGAAAGCATGTAAATAAATTCAAGAGGAAAATTACCTTGAGATGATGGAGAAGGTTAAAGGAATGATTGTAGGACTGAAGGAAAGGAGTGAAGGAGACACAAGTGAGGCAATGAGACAAGGAGAGAGGAAGAAACTGAAAAACGGCTGTTTGCCTGTTTCAGAAGGAGAATGTGAGGGTTTTAGGGTTTTTCTCTTTTATTAGGTGGATTTTTGAGCTTGGGCTTAAGAGTTATTTTTGTTTTTTCTTGTTCGTTCTTTTTTTTTTTTTTCGGGTTGAAAATTTCAACCTTAACCTAACCCATTTAATTATCAGGTCGGGTTCGTGTCGACCCATTTAAGTTTTCGGGTCAGAAATCTCAACCCAAACCCGCTATTTTCAGGTCGGGTTTGGGTCGTGTTTTCGGGTCGGGTCAGTTTTTGCCAGCCCTAAAATTTCAACCCATTGTGGTAAAAAAGAAAAGGCAACCATTTTTTTTTCATGCAAGTATAAGAAATAATTAAGAAAAACTCCAAAAAGAAGTTGAAGGAGTGGAATACTTACCATAAGGAGAGGTCTCAAGGAGGGCAACCTTTTTGTGGAAATGGTTAGGTGACATTGGATCCATTTTCTTAGGACTTCCTCCTTGTTGGGCTCTCACCACCATTGAAGGGGTCTTCAATGATGGTGTTAGGGACACCCCGACACGTTGGCCGAAACCAACTAGGGCCGGGCTGCGGCCGGTGACCGTGTGGTTTGACACCATAGTGGCAGCACCACCAGAGCATGTCAATGTGTTGCTTGCCATTGAAGATAAGTAAGTTGAGCTTACTAAGACTATAATTAGGATATAATTAGATGTAAATAAATGTAAATTGCAAGTTGTATGTTTGTTCACTCATTATTAGCTTATTTATAGTTATGTAGGGAGATTAATAAATTATAAAACGGTTGAGTTTTAAGTCTTTTTTGTAGGGAGATTAATAAATTATTCTATGATCTATACTCAAATTAAAGCAAAGTATATATCCTAAATAAAACTTAAAAATAAAATAATTAAAGTAAAGTAATTTAGCTTCTTCTAGAAAAAAGATGTAGAGTACATTATATATACTATTATAGCATTTTATAATAAGTGCCCTATTTATTTACCAAGCACTTTAAAGAGTTCTTTACAATTTATAATGTCCAAATCTAGAGAGCAGAGATTTGTTTGTCATTGTGTTTGAAAAATTGATGGAGTAATTATGGAGAATGGAATTTTAATTTTCCTATTTGATGAGTACAAAATTTACGTGAGAATCTCTACTTAGTTGTAGGGTACATCTAAAGCTAGAAATGCCCAATATTTTTATTGTACATCATGAATCATGATTATTACAAATTACAATAATTTAATATGTAAATCAAATACTCACAATTCATGCTCTTTGATAGATAATTTCTCCTTCATTTCGAAAACTTCAGCGTTTCACGTATATATAGCACACTAATTTGATTATGAGAAGTGCTCAAGTGCCCTAACAATGCAAATTGAAAAAAAACATTCACGTATTAGCAAGTTAGGCCTCTTAGCTTGGAAATTAAACATTGGAAATAGAACTAATGCTAGCTAGTTAGATCCGGATAAATCAAGTTAATTAAATTTCATTAAGATAAGATAAGTCAACTTTAGAACCATTAAACAAGATAAGTTAATTTCAAGATTAATAATTCCGTATAAAGTGAGAAAACACACTGTAATAATGTACTCTTTTTTTTTTTTTTTTATAAGGGACCCTAATAACGTACTTAATTAAATTCATACATGCAATAGTAACATATGATGAAGTATATTCTACATACAATAATAATAATACATGGTCAACATGGATCTGTAAGCTTGTCATGAACAAAAGTAGGCTGCGTCGGTGATAGATGGATTGAGTCATGCGTACAACTCTATCCTAAGTTAAGAAAATTCAATTTTATATAGTAGTATACTTTGTACTCCGTATTAGTTTTAGACCATATTTTTGGCTTTTTTTAAGCTTTTGGCTTTTGCATAGTACACACTGTATGATCCTATATGCTTTAAGTACATTCTAATTATAACATTGCTGTTTTAGACACTAACATATGCGACATTGACATCATTTTTGGCTTAGTCGTCATTGATTGACACTTTGCACTACCCAAAAAAAAAAAAAAAGCAAATTAGTTTTAACTACCTTTCTTACGTCACTTTATTAAAATATATATTTTATACTTTCACGTTACTTATTGAACTTATCCGATTCTATCTAATCATAAGGTCTCGGTCGTGTTAAGAAATGAGAATACATCAAAGTTAGAACTTATTAACTCTAAATTTATCTTTTCTGAACTTATTATTGGTCACTTAATTAACTTCTTACAATCAAATATGAGATTATAATAAATGGATCAGACCGTAAAGTATGTATATATGGAGAATATAGAGCCTAAGAGTGAGGATAATGATCACATTGCCTTGAAATTATGCAAATAAATTTATAGTCCTTGTTGTTAATTGGAAAACATCTATACAATGTTATGAGCAAGCAATTTAAACACTATGATTAATCAGAATAATGAACAAGAATGAAAATAATTTTCACAACCACATAATATCGACCAATTGTCTTATTTATTATTAGTATAGGTAGCTTAGCTTTAACAAACAACCGATGTATACAACTTAGTACATACAATATAAGCTTAACTTGAGCTTCTCTTTTATTACACAATCATTCAAAGCAAATTTCTTATGTATGAAGCAATCCAAACTTCGTCTTCCAAACAGTTCAGTAGACCAATTATGAAATGGATCTAACAGGGACATGAATAACTTTGTGCTCGAATTTGGTGATCTTAGGCACAGTTATGTAGAGGACACCATTCTTAAACACGGCCGTAATTTCTTCCTTCCAAGAGTAATGAGGAAGTTGAACCCTACTATCGAAAGGACTCAAGATCTTGTTACCAAATGCATCTACACCCCCATCTCCTTTGATGTAAAGCAAGTCGTCTATAACTTCCACTTCTATGTTTTCACCTGCTAGTCCTGGCATGTCAAACCACATCTTGATCTCATGCTCGTCCTCACTAGTATTCCATGGAGTGCGCACTGCAAAACAAGTTACAGTTTTTTCCAGTAGGGTTATGTTTGAAAATCTAATATCATTGTTCTCTATTTAAATTTTAGGAAATTAAAGGTGACTAATTAATTAGTATATGTGACTCTTATTTCGAGATAGAAAAAAATATGCTTATAGTTTATTTTAAATTTTAAATTTATGAATTAAGTGCGTGGTGGAAATGAAGCGATTTGAGTTCATTATATTTTATACCAAGAGGAAATTTTCATGGTATCCAATAATATAACGCCTTACACCTTTGAGGTTCATTTTTTTTTTTAATAATTATTTGTATCGCTTTAGAAGAAAATTGAGTGTTATTATATTATAAAGAAAATAACACGTATGTGAAAACAGTTGAACTTACCAAATATAGAAAGTGACTTATTATCATGGTACATCCATAAGAGATGGAACGAGTAATGTACTTCATATTAAGGAGAAAAAGAATCCTCCTCACCTATGTAAGATAGCAAAGCAGTTGAAGGAGTGGAATATTTACCATAAGGAGAAGTTTCTAGTAGGGCAACCTTTTTGTGGATTTGTTCAGATGAGATTGGCTCAATTCTCCTTGGACTTCCACCTCCTGCTTGTTGGGCTCTCACCACCAAACAAGACCTTGATGAAGGGGTCTTAATTAGTGATGGTGCTTGGGACAACCTCGAACGAGGGCCCGACCCATTTGGTAATGGGCTGGATGAGGCCCGGTTCGACACGAGGGTTGTAGCAGAAGAGCTTGTCAATAATGTGCTTGCCATTGAAGAAGATTTAAGGTGAACTTAGAAAAATCTATCCTATGGAACTTATTTATAGAAATGTATATGAAGGTATGAATGGTTACTTGTTGAGCTTGATTATGCATCTTCTCTTTTTGTCAGGAAAAGCCTCATTTCCTACATATTTTGATGCTCTTTATTTTAATCAAATCAAAGTAATGAGGCTAGCTTCTCCTAACAAAAATTATGAGCTTCATGTTCGTACACTTTATGAGTACGTATATCATACTCGTAGCTAGCTAGACTGTACCGATTATTGTATAAATATCTTAATATGTGTAATGAAAAGTGTAACCTAATATTAAAAAAAAATGCTAGCGACATGCCAAAATCTTATATGAGACAGACTAATGAAAGTTATACGTAGTAATAATTTATTGTGATATCAAGGTGAATTCTTCCTTGTTTAATTTATTGTTTATACTTTGTTTAACTTTTACATTATTGTAAATAGGCAGATAACTATGATATACACCAAATACGTTATCCAAGCATGTACTCCAAGTTTGTGCGTGCCTTAATGTTCGGAGTGTGAGATGCCTCGTTACTTTGCTTAGGTTTGTGGTAAGACATCAATTCCTTCTTAAAGTACTTTTTGTGTTTCTAAATGCCAAAACACTAATCACATGTGATTTCACCTTACCAAGTGAGCCAAGTTGGGCATCGTACAAGTATTACTCGATTCCGGAGATGATTTCTTACATTTGCTAGTGTACGGGATATACCGGTAGAATCATAATATGCCGGTAAAAGAGTGTTGTGCAGTTTAAAGCCCTCGTTAATCATTGAATAATTCATGTCCTTACCGGCATTAGTCTCTACCACGCGGAGAGCTGCTTCTCGGAACGTGGCATGTCCCTCCAACACGTGGAGAGTTGCTTGGTGCCGCGTAGGCACCTACTACTTACAAGGTCGGTGTGCCACCTATCTGTATAGGTGGCACCTGCTTGGTTGTGTTCCTATAAATACCCAAGCAAATCCTCATTTCAAAGACACAATCTATCTCTCTCTAAAACACTTTCTCTCTCTTCTTTCACTTTCTTCACTTTCTTCTCACAAAGGTACTGACTTTAGCATCGGAGTGGTTATTCCCGGATAACCCCCGGGCTAGCTAATCTGTATTGGCTGTGCAGGTGAGCAATTGGACGGTAAACCTTTACCAGCCCTCAGACGTTAACGGAAGCAGTCCAGCAGGAACAATTGGCGCTAGAAGGAGGGGATAGTAATAACTTCTATCGTCCAACAGGACCTCTCACAGTCATGGAATGAAGTAAGGAAACTTCAGTACCGGTGCCAGAAGTTGATAACCGGCAATACGATAACAATGTCCTTAATGCTAACACGAATAAAACCGTACTACCAGAAATCATGGTCGAAGATGAAACTCATCTCCTTCACGGTAACACAATGAACAGGCCCATAACACCTGACCGTAGCAGAGCAGTGACCCCAGATCCCTTGGAAGGGTTTACCCCGGAGGAGCTAGAGATAACGGCCAAGGTCATGCGGGCTATGTCTAAGAAAAGAAAGGAAGCCGAGTTAACGGCATGGGGAATGCGGGATGAGGTACCGACAAAGCCGCTGATAGTGAACTTGGAGAGTCAGTTCAATCAGGCGGGACAACAACAACCGTCAAGAAGCCGGGGCCGAGAGACCACACTGGCCGAGCGCTAGCTCACACAAGGCGCCCAGGTGGGGGATTCAGGTTCTTATCGGCATGAGGTTTCTAGTGGCTTGGAAAGGCGGGCAGTCAGGGTGATCATCAGGCCCAGAGTATCTCCGTTCACACAAGAGGTACTTGACCAACAAATGGAGAAGATAAAGATGTCGTCCTGTACGTATGACGGTAAGGGGGACCCAAAGCGGTATGTGGCTGCGTTTGAGAGTCACATGTTGCTATATACCGACACCGATGCTGTGTGGTGTAAAGTTTTCCCTACGACTCTTACCGGCGCAACTTCGGATTGGTTCTCCAATTTAGAGCCGGGATCAATTGACTGCTTTGAGACCCTGGTGGAGATGTTTACAGGTCAATACATAAGTTATAGTGCGAGACAAAGGACATCTGGCGAGCTCATGGCTATTCAGCAACGAAAGGATGAGTCGCTCAGAGATTTCATTAGACGCTTCAACAACGAGGCTAACACTATACCAAAATTGCAGCAAGAAATTGTCGTGATGGCATTGACGAATGGGCTAGGTGACAACGACTTCAGAAAATATATGTCGCGGAAATCTTTCCCAAATTTAGGGGTAGCATTTGCCAAAGCTCATGAATACATAAAAAGTAAGGAGCTGCTGAAAACGAGCCGTCAGATATCGTCGGCAGAGCCCTCCAGAAGGCAAAGTGATAATAGCTCGAGTTCTCAGATGGGTGACGTAAGCAGGGCGCTGCCGCAAGGCCAGCAGAGGTCCGGGAGGCCGACAAGGGGATTGGATCGTTATAGTAGTTATACGCAATTAAACACCCCGAGAGCGGCAATATATTCAATAAACCAGAATAGAGAAGATTGGAGTCGACCGGCACCGATGATAACGAAGGGCCGGGACGTGAAGAAATATTGCATGTTTCATAGAGACGTTGGTCATTACACCGAAGAATGTGTTCAGTTAAAAGAGAACATTGAAGATCTCATAAGGAAGGGGCGATTATCCCAGTATCGTACCCAGGCAGGTCCCAGCCGACCGCAAAATTCACAGCCTAGGCAAATCGAGTACCGAAAGCAGGGAGATCCATCAATGCAAGATGATACTTACAGACAGAATCATGCGGAAGCATCTAGACAGGGAGGTAATCCGACAGGGCATAAAATAACAATCGACGTTATTACGGGAGGGCCAGTATATGGAGGTTCCGTAAGCGGGGCCAAGAAGAGTTTGTTGGAATACCAACACCTAGTGAACGCTTTGAGCGTAGAGGAACGACCTCGGCCTTCTTCCATGCTTTCGATATCTTTTTCGGAGGAGGATGCTAAGGGAGTAATTTACCCTCATGATGATCCGTTGGTGCTGATATTGACGGAAAATGGAGCATATATCAAGCGGGCACTCGTTGACGACGGAAGTTCCGCAAATATCCTGTTTGCTAGGGCTTTTGATGCCATGAGGATTGGCCGAAAATACTTGACGCTAGTGTCCTATCCCGTGATAGGTTTCAACGGATCGACGGTAAGACCTGAAGGTAGTATTGTTCTTCAGGTTCGAATGGGAGAGGGTCCGGCAGTAAGAGATGTTATGGCGGAGTTTTTGGTGATTGATGTGCCATCTGCTTACAACGCCATTGTCGGCAGGCCTCTAATTCATGACATGCAAGCTGTGGTCTCAACGTACCACTTGACGATGGTGTATGTATCCAACGCGGGAACGACAAAACACGTACGGGGTAGTAAAACTATGGCAAGAGAGTGTTATGTATCGGCACTGAAGCAGCCAGGCTGACAACCAACTTGTGAACAGACACCAGCCAAGCGAGAACGAATTCCCTCTACACATGACTTGGCTATGGAAAATTTTGATACCCGGCCGGTAACTGCGCCACGTCCTTCCCCAGGAGGCGAAACTGTAGAGATCGAATTGCAGCCTGGAGTTCCCGGTAGGGTAGTGCGTGTCGGATCTGATATGGATGTCGACACACGCTGCCATTTGGTAGAATTGTTGCGAGAAAGTGCTGACGTGTTCGCTTTCTCGGCAGACGAGATGCCAGGGATACATCCCGACGTCATAGTACATAAGCTAAATGTCGACAGGAGGGCAAGACTTGTTCGGCAGAAGAAGAGGAACTTCTCAACAGAGAAAATGGAGGCTATTCGGTCAGAGGTGAATAAGTTGCTAGCGGCAGGGTTTATCGAACCTTGCACATACCCTGAATGGTTAGCAAATGTGGTTATGGTGAGGAAGCCGTCAAGGAACTGGAGAATGTGCGTGGACTTTACGGACTTGAACAGAGCCTGCCTGAAAGATTGTTATCCCTTACCGAGGATAGATAGATTGGTAGATTCAACTTCCGGTCACGCGCTATTGAGCTTCATGGACGCTTTCTCCGGATATCATCAGGTCAGCTTATATGAGCCGGATCGAACAAATTAAAGCGGCATTCATTACCGACTCTGGAGTTTTCTGCTATAGGGCTATGCCACTTGGATTGAGAAATGCAGGGGCTACGTACCAAAAGCTGGTCGACAAGGTATTTGCGAACCAGAAAGGAAGAAATGTAGAGGTGTATGTGGATGATTCAATTGTGAAAAACCGTTTGGCTACAGACCACGTCGCCGATTTGAGAGAAACTTTCGAGACACTTCGGCGTTACCGGATGAAGTTAAACCCAGAGAAGTGCGTGTTCGGCGTGCGGTCAGGAAAGTTTCTCGGTTTCATGGTGAGCGAAAGGGGGATAGACGCCAACCCCGATAAGATTGAGGCGATTCTTAGTTTACCAGAACCAAAGTGTATAAAAGACATACAGAGGCTCACTGGTCGAATGGCCGCGTTAACAAGATTCATCAGCAAGTCAGCTGATAAGGCCTTACCGTTCTTTGTGATCTTGCGTCAGAACAAGCTGTTTGGATGGGGGAAGGACCAATCCAAGGTGTTTCAGGCTGTTAAAAATCACTTGAGGTCCTTACCCACCGTTGCAAGGCCAGAACAAGGAGAAATATTACAGCTTTATATCTCTGCGTTGGCAAAGACGGTAGCGGCGGTGCTCTTGGTAGAGCGGCAAAAAACACAACTGCCAATTTACTTCGTGAGCCACGTATTAAATGCTGCCGAGAGAAGGTAACCGTTAGTAGAAAAGATCGCGTACGCGGTAGTTGTGGCCGCACGAAAGTTGCGCCCTTATTTTGATGCACATGCAATTGATATCTTAACGAATCAACCGTTAGAGAAATCTTTGCAGAAGATGGAAACGTCTGGCCGACTGCTTAAATGGGCTATTGAACTGTCTGAGTATGTTATTGCGTATAAACCAAGAGTATCAATTAAAGCCCAGGCTTTGTCTGACTTCATTGTGGAAACATCCTATTATGAAGAAGAGGATGCTATCGGCACATGGAAGGTATCAGTTGACGGCTCTTCTGCTTCAACCAGCTCAGGAGCTGGAGTAATTATGATCTCTCCCCAGGGAGATGTGTTCGAGTATGCCGTTAAGTTCAAGTTCAAAGCCTCAAATAATGAGGCAGAATATGAATCAGCGTTGGCAGGAATACAGTTATGCATATCTGCGGAAGCAAGGCGTATTGAGATGACAACTGACTCGCAAGTAGTAGCAAATCAGTTTAATGGCACTTACGAGACTCGAGAGCCGAGCATGACGGCATATTTGGCAAAACTCAAGAGTGTTACATGCTGGAGTATTTCGAAATCAAGTTGGTCCCTCGAGCAATGAACACACAGGCAGACGCCTTGGCTAAACTCGCAAGTTCAAGCTTCAATGACTTAAGAGGACGGTTATGGTAGAGGTTATGAAAGAAAGAAGTATTGATGAACAACCTCCTAAGGGCGTATGTTGTACAATTGCGGGACAAGAATGGTATGATGATATCTTGGCTTACAAAATACATAATGTCCTTCCTGCCGGCAAGACGGAGGCAAGAAAGGTCCAAAAAGACAGTGTCTGGTTTATCATGTTTCGAGGTTTGTTGTATAAGCGGGGGTTTTCGTTACCGCTGCGAAGGTGTATAATGGCTTATGAGTCGGCAAGATTGATAGAAGAAATACACGAGGGTGATTGCGGTAATCATACGGGGGGTCGGTCAATGTCCTTGGAAGCAATGAAACGAGGCTACTATTGGCCAACAATGAATGCAGATACCATGGAATACGCTAAAAAATGTGATAGATGCCAGAAGTACGAGCCGGTAATTAATCAACCTCCCAATGATTTATCACCTATTCTTAACCCAATCCCGTTTTCTCAGTGGGGAATGGACATTATAGGGCCGTTTACATCGGCAACAGGTGGCCGTGAGTTTTTTATTGTAGGGATAGACTACTTCACCAAATGGATAGAAGCAGAACCGGTAGCAAAGATTACAGCGAATGAGGTAAAGAAGTTTATCTGGAAAAGCATTTTTACGCGGTTCGGATTGCCGACAGCAATGGTGTTTGATCACGGATCACAATTTGACTGTAGTCCGGTAAAGAACTTTCTAAGCATATACAAAGTGAAGTTTGCGTATGCGGCAATATGTCACCCGCAGTCAAATGGTCAAGCTGAGGCCGCTAACAAGAAGATACTAGGGGCAGTTAAGAAAAAAGTAGAAGACGCTAAAGGCTTGTGGGCAGAGCTGATACCTGAGATTTTGTGGGCGAATCGTACGACAACAAGAGAAACTACGAGGGAATCTCCTTTCAACCTCGCTTTCGGCTCAGAGGCAGTGGTTCCGGAAGAAGTGGGATTACCTTCTTTTCGGGTATAACACTTCTGCGAAAGTCAAAATGATTTGTTGCTTCGACAACAATTGGATTTTCTACCGGAAGTAAGGTTGACGGCTGCCATAAAATCTGCAGCATACAAAAACCGAATGAGCCACGCTTATAACCGGCGCGTCAATTATCGGCCCATGGAAGATGGTGATTTAGTTCTGCGCATAACGGTCGCAACCGGCAAAGGGAACGCAGAGGGTAAACTTACTGCAACCTGGGAGGGGCCTTACCAAATATATGAAACACTTCGACAAGGGTCTTATCGGCTAATGTCCCTTGAAGGTGTTCCCTTGAAAAATGTTTGGAACGCTAGTGTATTAAAGAAATATTTTATGTGAAATGTGTGTTCTATTTTATGTAGTATAAGTTTTGATGACATGTTGTCATATGTAATTTTTCGGCATTTACTAGTATTGTAACCTATTTCAACACTTATGAAATACAATCACATTACCTACTTTCGATACGATCTGACCACAGCCTAGCTAGCTGACTCGATCGTTCAAGTGAGGGAAGAATAAAAAATAAAATAATAATGGACCTCAAGGGGAGTTGAAAGTGCGGATTGATCCACTGCCTTTGCTCAGCCTGACAAAGGTTGGATAATTTATCTCGGTATGTTTTATATCCAATAGTCAACACAGGCATTACAGAGTTTTCCCAGAATTTGTTTACGAATAAATTCTGTCTAAAAACTCGGGGAGTATTATTGGTAAGGTATATCTTTGAAATACCGATAACAAGGTGTTAGGGGTAAGATTTATTTTGAAAATATCGATAACAAAATTCTTAGGTTTTCTAAAAAAAATTTTAATTCGCAAAATTAAATACCGAGAAATATAATTTTGAAAGCCGAAAAACGTAAACTCATGTTAAAAACCAAGGAATAACTAAAACGCGATTCAAAGAGGGCGATCATTACGTGTTAGTTAAGAGGTAAATAACGACCATATCATAAAACAAAGTAATATGGTAAGGAAGTAAATAACTAGCTGATTAGAAATAATTGTAACGAGTATAGACATACGCAAGTAAAATATTCAAACAATCAAAAGAAAAATTGTTGCATATTACAGACTAGTGTAATTGTTTAAAACATGGCAACGGGTACAGACAAGCATAAACATCGTAACCCAGAGATGACTGCCCTCCTGATTAAATCTTGTCGGCCTCCTTGGTTGATTCAGCTGCATTAACAGACTCTTTCTCAGCTTCTTTATTGGAGGGACCGACAGACCCATCTTCACCAGCATGAGTGGTAACAAGGCTATTGATAAGGGCGTCATCAAACTCCACTTCCGGCAACTCGCGTGGGTCTAGGTTTGTTATCATAGCATGCGGGGGGAGCTCGTCAAAGTACTCACTCTCATAGCTGGTAGGAGAGTGGTTCATCTCTTCGTTAAAAGCCCTCTCGACGGCCTGCCACTTCGTTGAATTCCACCCCTCCGCTTTGCACACACAACGATGCGCAGAGACCCAACCGGCAGTATACCGGTCAACCAGCAAGTTGGCGTAAAGGTCGGTCTGCAGGAACCGATTAACGGCTCGACGCCTGATTCCCGGCTTGTCGCGCTCCATTTTCTCAACTTGGCTGGCCAGCTGTGCCTTAGCCTCCTTTTCGTACTTCAGGCTCTGCTCAAGGCTGGCTACCTTCTTTTGCAACATCTCCTGGTCCGTCAGCTTCCTGTTTAGTTCAGACACTTGCTTTTGCAGGGTCTTCACATCAGATTTAACCTTGTCGCGCTCCTTGACGACGAGCTTGCAAGCGTCGTCAGCCTTTTTCAGCCTGGTCTCGACGTTATCGGCGGCGCGCTGATAATGCTGGTACATGTGTACCACCTCGACAGTAGAGTTGACGGTCTAATTGACGATAACAGAAATTGTCGTTAGTAAACATAATACAGGTTTATAACGTAGGAATGATAGGTATCTAAAGGTAATAATGACGTCTTACCCGGAGCATATTGTTCATAAGCTGGCCACAGGGAGCAGTAATGCGATTGGATGGCCTGTCGGCTGGAGTTGCCAAGTCCTTCAGCATTCTCCACCCCATGCTCCCGCCAGTGCTAGGGTCGTCACTGAGAACGGACTCCCCACGATTAACATTGATTCGGGGATGCCATGGGTCACCGGCAGCACCGAACAGTACAGCCAACTCCTCAGCAACTCCTTCCGGGATTCTGACGTGCGGAATCTCGATGAAATCACTGACAAGAGCAGGGACGAAAGCGCCCTTGACGAGACCGCCAGAGCGCGTCGGGATGACTGCCGGAGTCTCCTTGGGTGGAGGCTTGTCGATGCTAGCCAGCTGGCCTGTTTTGGCCCCTACACTGCCGACGCCGGTAGCAGTCGAGTCCCTTAAGGTGACCGTTAGTTTTTTCAGCGGCTGGAGTTCGGTCTCATCCTCCAAGTTAACGACCCCTTCCGGCCAGCTCCCTTGTGCATCCTTTTCGAGGGATGCCGCCTCATTGTCATGATGTTTTTGTTTTTTTTTGTTGTTGTTCTCGGCCGGAGGACTCAGACGTCCTCTTTGACGCATTTCCTCCACCCATTTTCACAGCTAGGGTGCGAGGTTTGGTAGCGCGGTCGGTAGGAGCCATGTCATGTACTCTTGTTCTTTTTCTTTTACTGGCTCTGGTGGCGAAGGCGGGGAGAGTGTCGTATGACTTTCTCGCCCAATCGGGGCACTTTTGTTTCACTCGCCCGTCAGGATGCAAGCCTAGTCGGCTGAAGTCGAGTTTCTCAATACCTGACGAGAGACATACCCAATAAGAAACGTCAAAAATAGACATTATAAAGGTAAACCTAAAATAAAAATAAAAACAAAAACGCAAAAATTAATATATATATATATAGTGTGTTTAGGTACAGTAAGAGAAAAAACAGGCAAGGTACTTATCGAAATTATTTTCAGAGGCAAAGTACATGCACAATAAAGATAAATTTAAATACATGTATATAATTTAATAACATTTCCATACTAAATGCATCGGTATGGCAGAGACCGACATGAGATAGAGGGGCGTTGCCCAGTATATAATTACAATGGGGCAACCACACCCCCGGAACGACTTTATTCTTCTTACCGGCTCTAACATATGTACAATTAAACCATTTAAAAGCTTTTTTCTCCATCGGTCCTAACACTCTCGACCGTATGGTCTCAAACATGTTGTGTGGATGATGAAATGTCCTACGGACGGTAAAATCGTCAGGAACACTCATAAAATAAAATTCATTCTTCCAGTTCTTGCAACAGGTCAATTTTGGCCACACTGTGCATTTACCGGGAGCGGTAAAAAGGGACCACCATCCGGGTGACTGACTATCTCTTTTTATCCAATGTAATCTCCGAAATAAGTTCAGGGTAAGGGGAAAGTCCATAAATATCATAACCCAGACAAGAGACACAATATTTCGGATGGTCGGAGGCGTTAACTGTGTAATTGAAACATTCCAAGCCCTGAATATTTTTTCGATGTAATGATGGAGTGGAAACCGTAAACCAAACTCTAAATGTTTTGCATACACAACAATGTGGCCGGCAGGACAGTCCAAAGCCGTTTGACCGTTACTTGGTAGTCTCAGTTCGTAACCATCAGGGAGACGGTAGAAGCGTTTTCCATGTTGGCAATAATCCTTTTCGGTGGCTGTCTGCAACCATACCGGATCCACAGTTGACTCAGTTATTTCATAGCTACTGGGAATTTCTTGAGGTTCCAGATACTTTGGTTCATCTTGATCTGAGTCGTATTCCTCGTTGAGACGTTCCTCTTCTGCAATCTGAGCAGCAAGGTTGAAATCTGTAGCAATTTCCTCGTCGGTCTCGCTGTTTTCACCCTCATCATCTTCTCCCTCCCCAACCTCTTCAGACCCATCTGCATCGTCTTCGTTACCGATGTTTTCACCCCCGCTTTCTTGCCGTTCTAGGCTATCTTCGACTGACCGGATATCTTCTTCTCGGATATCCGAAGATTCAGGACCTAGGTCAACCATTTCTTCATCAACGTAAGGTTTACTGCTTTCACCAACCTCACGTTGGTAACTAGCGTGTTTCGTTCTCGGCATCCTATCAAAATTAGTGTCGTATTGATTAAATAAATCCAAATTTGACCTCAAATGATATTGAACGCTAATAGGCTCAACATCAGCAATCTCTATGTCCTCTGGAATATCAGGGTTGGTAGGACGCAAAGCCTTCTCGGCGTCAGCTAGAAACTTATGACGATAATAAGCTTCTCTTTCTTCTACAGAAGTTAAGGGTGTACAGAGTTCAGCCTCATTGGCTTTACCCATGTTTGCATGCATTCCAGACCAGACATTCACAAATAATGAAATAAACGCAAAATCTACTAAACCACAAACCAGTGAGAAATCGAAAAGAAAGTTAGGGTTTTTTACCTCCTTTTCAACTCAACTCTTGAAAGCGTAACTCGGGAATAAAGTGTCCTCTGTTTACAAACACCGGTCACAACACAACTGAACAAACCCTTGACAAATTGAGCCTTGAATCGCAGAAATACAAGCGCGCTACGAGCGAAGTGAAGTAGAATTTTTTCGAAATTTTTTTCGCAACAGACATGAAGGGTCAAAAGTACGAAATTTACTATTTATACTGTACAAATGAAGTGGTTGATGTGACATTTACTGCATGCAATCCAACGGCTGTAATAAAACGCCTTTTCGAAAATAACCTACTTCGATGACTGACACGTGCCCCATTATTTTACTACATTTTCCCGCCAAATCCTGGGGGATAAATTTTCAAATGTGTGAAATCGTTTTAACTCCTATTTTCGGTTTCAGTATTTTATTGAGCCAAAACATGTCGGCATTTTACTCGGTAATTGAGTAAAGTCCTATCGTCAATTTGCTCACTTGGGGGGCAAATTGTAGATTTTTTCATGTATTGAGCAAAGTCCTATCGTCAATTTGCTCACTTGGGAGGCAAATTGTAGATTTTTTCATGTTTTTATTGAGCAAATTACTATCGTCAATTTGCTCACTCGGGGGGCAAATCGTAGATTTTCTTTTTGTTTTTTAACACATTCTTGTATGACATATCGTACATACCACCACCGTGTTCCAACGCAAGTGAGTACGTCAGTTTTACTAACGCCCTCATTTGGGGGGCTAGTTGTACGGGATATACCGGTAGAATCATAATATGCCGGTAAAAGAGTGTCGTGCCGTTTAAAGCCCTCGTTAATCATTGAATAATTCATGTCCTTACCGGCATTAGTCTCTACCACGCGGAGAGCTGCTTCTCGGAACGTGGCATGTCCCTCCAACACGTGGAGAGTTGCTTGGTGCCGCGTAGGCACCTACTACTTACAAGGTCGGTGTGCCACCTATCTGTATAGGTGGCACCTGCTTGGTTGTGTTCCTATAAATACCCAAGCAAATCCTCATTTCAAAGACACAATCTATCTCTCTCTAAAACACTTTCTCTCTCTTCTTTCACTTTCTTCACTTTCTTCTCACAAAGGTACTGACTTTAGCATCGGAGTGGTTATTCCCGGATAACCCCCGGGCTAGCTAATCTGTATTGGCTGTGCAGGTGAGCAATTGGACGGTAAACCATTACCAGCCCTCAGACGTTAACGGAAGCAGAATCCAACAGGAACAACTTGACCAATTGTTATTGCTTGGTGGCGATGAGATTGTCAATTATAACGACGACAATGATGATCGTAATGACATAGGCGAGTCGTAATTGCTAGAAGGCGTAGTAGTATTAGAGCATTTACTTGCCCTCTTATTAGTAGAAAGTGATAGATATTATTTTCTAGATAATATTTGTCGGATATATTTGTATATATTTTGTATAATTATCTTATTAGATTCCTAACGTGATTAGGAATAGGCTTGTAACATTATATAAAGTAATCATTGGTATCACAGCTTTAGGTTACGATCCTAGTTTTATTATTTTTTTTTTCTTGCTTCCGCTACACATACTGCCGCCCAACCTTCTTCTTCACTGATCTTTTCACCTAGCTTGCAGCTATGTCACAAGATGGCGACACACCACCTCCTCCGCCGCCAAAACCACCAGTGAATGAATTTCACCCGGCCCTCGCGGTCAATAATATCAAGACAGCAATCCCGATTACCCTTGACTACACAAACGTCCACTATTTCACATGGGTTGAATTGTTTGAGAACCATGCTTGTGCATATAATGTTCTTGATCATATCGATCCCAAGACTCCGAAACCCTCTGACATCTCCGATGCGTTTTGGACTCGATTAGATGCTATTGTTAAGCACTGGATTTATGGAACGATTTCTGTTGATCTTCTCAACACTGTGTTGTCTAGGAAAGCTACGACTCAACAAATTAAGGATCGCATCAAGGATATTTTTCAAGATAACAAGAGTACAAGGGCGGTATACCTCGAGAATCAATTTAATACTCTTCATCTTGATAATTTTGCCAATGTTACCTCGTTCTGTCAACAATTGAAAAGCATTGCTGATCAATTAGCCAACGTCGATCAACCCGTTTCCGATCAGAAATTGGTTCAATTCTTCGCTTGGTCGCGGGTTTGAACAAAACTGATTTTGACACGGTGGCCACCATGATTGCACAGTCCGAACCCCTACCATCGTTCAACACAGCTCGTTCTCGGCTCTTATTGGAAGAAACCCGCCGGAATTATGATTCCTCACCACCACACACTTCGTTTGTTGCCCAGCACCAATCGGGACAGCAGACCAAACCCACATAGCAGCAGCCGCAGCAAACAACCACCGTCAGGGGCGGTGGTGCCTCCGGGAAGGGACGCGACGATGGCAGTAAAGGCCGTGGGAAAGGCCAAGGTAAAGCCAGTGGTCGTGGTGCTCCAGCCACCCCGCAACAGCAGCAGAACAATCAACAACAATCACAACATTGGCAACATCAGCCCAGTCCTATTGGGCAGCCTAATTGGGCCCAACAGCAGCAATGGCCCAATCAGCAACAGGCCTGGCCACAACAGCAAACGTGGGTTGTTCCTCCTGCGCCATTCCCCACAACAGCTCACTATCAACCTAGGCCGATTCTAAGTAGGCCACCTCAGCAGGCCTACTCTATGGGGTCGTCCACATATGGCCCACCGATGAATCCAACCGAGCTAGGCAGTGCGTATTCATCAATGAGTTCATCAACTCCGGAGAATGGATGGTACATGGATTCGGGTGCAACGTCTCACATGACAAATAATCCCGGTACTCTTCTTCCCCTTTTTAATTTAAGCACTAATAATCATATTTTAGTCGGCAATGGGCATCGCATTCCAATTACTGGTTATGGTCATACTTCCCTTCCAAATAATAACCTTAGGCTTAATAATGTTCTACTTGCACCACAAATTACCAAAAATTTAATTTCTGTGCGTAAATTTACCTCAGATAATTCGGTGTCTATTGAATTTGACCCTAATGGTTTTTCTGTGAAGGATCTTCGTACGGGGAGGGTAATAACGAGATGCAATAGTGTCGGGGAGCTCTATCCAGTCACAACCCATACTTTAAGCACATGTCTAGCCACATCTCTCACTGCAGTCAACCCGTGGCATGATCGTCTAGGACATCCCGGGCCTTCATCTTTACAGTTTCTTAAGAGCAATAATTTTATTTCTTGTAATAAGGAGCACGACCCCTCTTTTTGCAATTCTTGTCAAATAGGAAAACATGTTAGACTACCGTTTTATGATTCAAATAATAATACTGTTTCTGCTTTTGACATTATTCATGCTGATTTGTGGACCTCTCCAATTCGGAGTATTAATGGTCATAAATATTATTTGGTTCTACTTGATGATTTCACACATTATGTTTGGGCTATCCCTCTTGCTTATAAATCTCAAGCCTTCCAATCATTCTTACATTTTCGACAATATGTGCAAACACAATTTGAACGTCCTGTTAAATGTTTTCAAAGTGACCATGGTCGCGAATTTGACAATGACCCCTTCAAAAAATTTTGCCTTGACAATGGATTGGTTTTTAGATTTTCTTGCCCACACACTTATTCTCAAAATGGGAAAGCCGAACGGATGATTAGAACCATCAATAATGTCAAACGAACTCTATTATTCCATGCTTTCTTGCCCCCTTCATATTGGTCACATGCTCTAGAGACAGCCATTTATCTTCTTAACATTTTGCCAACTAAATCTCTAAAACACATGACCCCGACTCAAGCTTTGTTTCGTAGAAATCCATCATATGACCATTTGCGGGTTTTTGGTTGTCTTTGTTTTCCTAATCTTTCAGCAACTGCTCCACATAAACTTGCTCCTAGGTCCACTCCTTGTGTTTTCTTAGGGTACCCTTCCAACCATCGGGGTTATAAATGTCTAGATCTTACAACTCGGAAAATCATCATATCTCGACATGTCACTTTCGATGAGTCTTCCTTTCCCTTTAAAAACTTGGAGAATTTTCAACTTATGGACTATGATTTCTTGGGGTTTGTTGCTCGGTCTCCTCTCCTAACTCATTTCATGCTCCAGCAGCACCTAGGCCCAATCCTCAAGCCCACACTACACCTCAAAGTCCACCAACCCAAAACCCCCGGCCATTGGGCGCTGGATTTCCAGCGGCCCAACCAGACGCTGGTGGCCCAGGCCCAGCGGGCGCTGGAAATCCAACGGCCCAGCCAGACGCTGGCAGCCCGCGTCTAGCAGGCGCTGGATCACCAGCGGCCCAAGGCCGAACCCCCCCTTCTGCTGGGCTTCCTTCCCCTTTTTCGGCCCAATCACACCAAAACACTCCTAGCCCACCTCCTTCCACCTCAAATCGCCAATCAGCCATGCTTTTTAGACCCAACCTTCTTTCCTCACCTCAAATGCAGACGAGATCTCGTCATGGCATTTCTAAACCAAATCCAAAATATGCCCATTTGACCATTGAGCATAAATCCCCATTACCCAAAAATCACAAACAAGCTTTGCAAGACCATAATTGGAATGCCGCAATGTTTGATGAATATAGTGCTTTAATTAAAACGGGAACTTGGATTTGGTACCTAGACCTATGGGGGTGAATGTGGTTAATTGCATGTGGCTTTTTAAGCATAAATACAAGTCTAATGGTGACCTTGAAAGGCACAAAGCTCGTCTTGTATGTGATGGCAGGTCGCAGGAAATTGGAGTTGATTGTGATGAGACATTTAGTCCGGTTGTTAAACCGGCAACTATTCGCACAGTATTCAGTTTAGCCATGGCTAAAAAGTGGTCCATTCATCAGTTAGATGTTAAAAATGCTTTTCTGCATGGTGACTTACAGGAAACAGTTTATATGCATCAACCTCTTGGTTTCTATGATCGGAGCAAACCTGACTATGTATGTCGTCTTCGCAAGGCTCTATATGGTTTGAAACAAGCCCCTCGGGCTTGGTATCAACGTTTTGCGAATTTTTTGATCAAGTTGGGGTTCGTCATTGCTAAGAGTGACACTTCTCTTTTCACTTTTCGGCAAGGGAATGACTTGGCATATTTACTGCTTTATGTTGATGATATTATTCTAGTCACTTCTTCTGACAGGTTGCGCACGGAAATTATTTCTAGTTTACAGATGGAATTTCCTATGTCCAACCTAGGGCCATTGAGTTACTTTTTGGGGATTGCAGTTACTCGCACACCCAACTATATGTTATTGTCTCAGCAGAAGTATGCACAGGAAATATTAGAGCGCGCAGGTATGACTTCCTGTAAACCTGTCGCCACTCCAGTCGACACTAAGTCTAAACTTAGTGCCAATTCGGGTTCTCCGTTCCGGGTACCTACTTTGTATCGCAGTCTTGCAGGCGCACTTCAGTATCTTACTTTCACTCGTCCGGATATTGCTTATGCGGTACAATAGGTGTGTTTATTTATGCATGATCCCAGGGAGCCGTATTTTGATGCGTTAAAACGCATTCTGCGTTATATTCAGGGTACTATTGATCACGGCTTACATTTATATCCTTCAGCTCCTACTCGCTTGATTACTTATACTGACGCTGACTGGGGCGGTTGTCCCGACACCCGTCGTTCCACATCGGGGTATTGTTGTTTTCTTGGGGACAACCTCGTTTCCTGGTCAGCAAAGCGTCAGCCTACTTTGTCTAAATCAAGTGCAGAGGCGGAGTATCGAGGCGTTGCGAACGTGGTTTCTGAAGCTTGTTGGCTTCGTAATTTATTATTGGAGCTTCATTGTCCCCTTCGACAGGCTACTATTGTTTATTGTGATAATGTCAGCGCAATCTATCTCTCTAGCAACCCGATCCATCACCAACGCACCAAACATGTGGAATTGGACATCCACTTTGTTCGGGAAAAGGTTGCGTTGGGTGAAGTTCGGGTTCTACATGTGCCTTCACGATTTCAGTTTGCGAAATCTTCACTAAGGGCTTATCAAGCTAGGGAGCTATTTTTAGACTTCAGATCCAGTCTGTGCGTACTTCCTCCTACCGCTTCGACTGTGGGGGTGTGATAGATATTATTTTCTAGATAATATTTGTCGGATATATTTGTATATATTTTGTATAATTATCTTATTAGATTCCTAACGTGATTAGGAATAGGCTTGTAACATTATATAAAGTGATCAATGGTACACACTCCAATTTGAGGAGTTTTCCCGAAATCTAACAGAAAGATAACCTAGATGCATCAAATATTTTTTTTTTTTTTTTTTTTTTTTTTTTTTTTTTTTTTTTTTTTTTTGGTGTTTAGAGAGCCACAAGACGGGGTGAGAATCGATCCCAGATTTTCTTAAATCGGGAGGAAAGCTCTAACCACTTGAGCTATCCCTCAGAGCTATATATGAATTGAACATTTATGAATGGAGAAAATTTAAGTTTTGTTGGTCTCCAATTTTTACTGCTTAAATTAAGGCAGTTTCCCTTTAATTTAAATTTGAAATATTTTTATGTTTAAATATTTTTGTTACTACTATATATTTTCCGGATTGGTAAAGCTAGAGTTATGGAAAAGGATAGACTTTTGATTTTAAAATGATATGTTTTAAAGATTTTTGAGTCTTATCTAGGTTAAATTGGTTATTGTTATGAATGCAGATTCAATCCTACTCCATATTATTAGACTGCCAAAAATCGACACAAAACAATTGCAATTTTACTAGCTTGATTTTCATATGAAATTTAATGTTATGACTAAAATGACCTTTTATGAGCACTAAACTTTTTTTTTTTTTAATTAAAAGTCTAAAAATTGTTGAATTTACGTACTTTAATTTGAATTAAACAACATTTTCATGGTTCTGACTATGGATGACTATGTCTATATGTATTATGACTAATTGGGATCGAGTTATTAGACATATCATGTGTATATAATTTGTATATTTTAACTTGTTAGTTGGATCCAAACCCAAATATTTCTAGGCCTCAACAAGCATTTGATCATCAACTCAAAATTGAAATCAGCCATCAAATCCAACAATTGAATTAGACCCACTATTTTATTCATATTGACCGATTGAAGCTAACCCTAAACCCTCACCCCTAAACCAAGGTTTTTTTAAGGTGGACAGTTAGTTATTGATTATATCATCCCAACATTTAATTGACACAAAAATAACAACATTAGCTAAAAATTAATACTCCAAAGTAAATGAACAAAGTAAAAAGATACACAAGATTTAACTAAAAAACACGTACATTATTATCGCTAAACACAAATTTATAAAACCTAATTAGCTAGCTCAAATTCAATCAACTAAAAGCAGCAGATCTCTTACAAAAATCAATAGCCTCTTTCAAATCTTCCTCTCTAATTTCATCACTTCCTTTCCTCTTATGAACTAAAACTCTAGAAATATTAATATCACTACAAATTCCCTTACACTTGCTTTGTTTCTTGTTATTATTAGCCTTAAAACATCCCATACAACTAGACTTAACCGCGTGCCACAACTTCCCATGACCTTGACACATTGCCAAGTGAACTAAGTAGGGCACCTTAGACGACGATGATGATGACATTGACAACGATGATCGACCTTTTCGTGTAGATGACTTCTTACTCTTACTATAGCAATTATATTTGTTACTACATGGTAACGACGATTGTAATGGTGATGATGATGATGAGTCGTCGTGGCACGACTCGTAGCTAGTGGGCGTACTAGGAGCATTGGAACTATTATTATTACTTGGGGTGCTTTCATTAGTAGAAGAAAAAGATGTCATTAAGTCTAGCACCCATTCATCTTGTAATACGTCATAAATTAACCCGAATGATTTCACCTCTTCCATATCTCCGATCTATTAAAGATTGAACCTTTATACTTGTATTTTGTGTGTGTGTTTTTTTTCTTTTGATTGTTGTGTTTAAATTATGATGATTGAATAGAAATATATAGTGTTAGCTTAATGGAGTAGTTCTTTTTAGGTTAGGTTTAGGAAAATAGCAAAATAAGGAATATTTTTGGTAATTAATTTTACTGCCAAAATTGAGGTCTTTTTGTTTCCATAATTGAATATTTTGTGCTGAAAGAAATCTTTTCTCGCTATTTTTTTCCGGGTTGGAAATTTATATTTTTGGAAAAACAGATAAACCTCATGATCTTAAGAAGTGACTTGAGTGTTTCCAAAAAATAAAAGAGTGACTTGAGTTGAGTCAATTGATAGCGAGATTTTCGAGGGAAAAAAAAGGGTAGATATCCCAATTGTTGCACTAATGTATGAGGTGGTTTCAATTATTTATGAAATTGGAAAAATTATTGGTTTAACTATCCATGTTTATCACATTATTTGTGATCTCAATTAAATAATACGGAAAAATAATCATAAAATGATGTAAAAAAGGTTGATTTTCCGATTGGATTCTACTAGGCACTAGCTAGCTTACTTTAGTAAACAAGAAATAGTATAACGTGTAGATCAAGGACATGACCTAATACGTATATATACTGTAAACTTTAAAAAATATGACAGTGAGAAAAAGTGACGAGGATATTTTGAGGCAATGTTCACCATTGATTTAGAAATGTAATTACTTGAGATGTTTTTAATACGGAGTACAATATTGTCTATTAACATAAGACTTACATTTAATTTTTCAAAGAAAAATGGACTTTTTGATTCATACACAATACGAAGTAATTTCAATGAATTTACGAAGTTTACCCCTAGAGGCCCTAGACTAAATTACTACCACATGAATGTTCATATCTGTAACATGGATCCAAGTTTGTTGATCATAATACACTAATACTAATATAATGGGCAACATCACTAAACAATTTTAACTTATCTCATAATTTCTCCATTGCGCGCAGTGAAAGCTTGGGAAGCAAACCCCCAATTCGCAAGAATACCATATTTCAAAGTCTACCAAACACTTGCAGATTCATGGGATATTAACACAATGTAAGCCAATGGATACAGACATACAGTCTACCACTTCTGCAACAGCTGCTGAAATAGGAAATAAAAAAATGTATAATCTGTGAAAACAAAATTTTTGAATTTTTTTAGAAAATTTGCAAAGTACATTACAAAGTAAAAGAAAAACTTATGATTACCTGTTCACTGAAAATGAAAATCCAAAACGTTCAACCTGAGTCACTTAGGTGTCATGATTGAACAGCCGGAATACTCAGAGATCCAGTATGCAGCAATCTCGGAAGTATCTGCAATGTCAACGAATACATCAATGGAAAACATTCTAGAATTCAAAACAGCAAGGACAATACATAAGCTAGCCAATTAGATCAGGTTTGAGCTAAATCTTAATCAGGTCATATTCAAATCTATTATCAATTTACTTACGAAAAACCAACCATATTTAGCCATTTTAATTTTCAGGTTGGATCAGGTCAAATTGAGTTATGTAATTTTGGTTTTGGGTCAATCATTTCAGGCTGAGGCAATTTCACAACATTCACCAGGTCTCACTGGAAGCAATAGCATCATACCGGCCTCTTCCATAAAAGTATGTAATTATAAAAAGGCATACCTCACCACATCGAGCACTGATCTTCAAGGGCACAATATCATCAGCCCTGGTAGTACCAATATTTATAATTACCGTAGCTGCACCTGCCTCATGTGCTGCTCTGCAACATTCATACAGAAAATCCTTCTTTAGAAAAGGTAGAAGTACTCTGCATGTTCACCATTCAGTGCATAGCATAAAGTTTTGTTTGCATTGAACTTTTTAGTGTAATATTATAATGAACATAACTATTAGCAGATAGATTGCTGTATACGAAGGAAACTAGGTCATCATTCTTCAGCATGCTTATAATACGAAATCAAAATAATCATATTTAGTAGTTAGTACTACCTTACTAATCTGAGAGCAGAAAATGTCATTAGAGAAGACCCAATAACCAGAAATGCATCACAACTTTTAGCTGCTTCCATTGCTCTGTCAGCTCGGTCCTTGGGCACATTGTCACCAAAGAAGACAACCTATAAATGAACAGGGCCATAACATAATCACAAATATGCCGATATTGCAGAAAATGACTTCTCATCAGAAAACTCAGTCAGCAAGGAAAGGTGTTCTCTAGCAGGGGTTAGAGTATCACGGAAACTATGTTACCTCAGGTTTCAGTACTCCATCACAATCAGGACAAGTAGGAATGTGAAAATCTTCTTCCCAAAATTTCTCATCAATGTCGATATCACCGTCAGGCCTCATCCGCATTCCAAAACTTTTGTCCGACCCTGGGTTTTCAAAAGTCAAACTATCAAGTGCTGCTGCCCACTGCAATATAACATCATCTTAGTTTCCCAATAATGACAATGCAGAGTATCTAATACCATCTCAAAGGCCATAAAACTTCCTCCATTAGTAGTCAATATAATCACATATCATTGGAGTAGAGCAAGCCCAATCAATGTCAATACATCAGTATGATATGTGATGAAAAATCACGAAAATCTCCATTGAAAAAAAAAATGTCATAAGCAAACAAATTTCTTAACTCTGCTGTTCTCATAACTGCTACTCTGCTAGACATAATATGAACCAATAACAAGATGCTGGTTTAATAATAACAATATTCTCTGAGGGAATTCCTAGACACCCTGGTAGCAATATACAGCCTCCAGATTCAATATATAAGTAAGAGCTGACCTTAGGATTAAGTGCCTTCAGTTGGTCCTGGAATGAGTGCCGACAAAATGAATAGCCACATTCAATACAACCCACAGTATATACAGTGCCATGCAACTCGAGAGGATTGCTGCCAGCTCGATGATGTAGCCTGACAAAACCACAAGCACTTGCATCAAGGATTACATATCTAAGTTTCTACATACTTTAAAGCACAGGTTGGGGATCAGAATACCTATCAACATTTTGTGTGATTATATAACTAATTCTTCCAGCTTTTTCTAGAGATGATAATGCAAAGTAACCAGCACCTGGCTGCGCTGAAGTGAATCGCCTCCACCCAGCATAACTCCTTGCCCAGTAACGCTTGCGAGCCTTGCCTGAGCGGATAAACTCCTACTTATATAAAGTAGCATATAATAGGGAGGAAACAGAAATCAATTGTTTGAAAAATTAAATGCATAAACATTTTGAGATGAAAATCAAAGAAAAGTGAAGAACGGAAACATATACTCAGTCCTTTCTGACAGAACACAGCTGATTCCCTTCAGTTACAATTTTGGCTCAAGTGATAAAAAAACACTAGAAGATGATAATTTAATTGAACAAAATCGCTTACTGTAGTTGAACAAGTTCGAATATGACAAACAAAATTGTCATTTGCCAAACATTCAGCATAATAGACCTAGACAATTGTTTAAGCAAATTGTGACATTTGAGAACTAAATGAAATGCACTCGTGAAATAAGTTACAGTATATAGGAGTAAAATAAAAAAGTTATGTGCTAACTATGAAGTTCTTGAGTACTGTAAATTAAAAAAAAAAAAAAAAAAAAAAAAAAAAAAAAAAAAAAAAAAAAAAAAAAAAAAAAAACATGCCTTCAGAATTTAGATCACCTGATGGGTAATGGGTCTGAAACCAGAACTATATGCTCCATTTGGGCTGCAAGTACGTAAACTAGTCAGCAGGTTATCTTTTGAGGATTGATATAAGTGCAAAAAAAAACCATATATTATATTCCTTTGTAAGATGCTAAAAAAATTAAATCATCGAGATATTAATCAAAATGTTGCAAAAATTAAATGATTATGGATTAATCATCTTCTCAAGATTCAACCACATCCCTATGACAGCATGATATCCGTATCTATATAAATTAAGTATCAAGAGATAATCAAAGCATCTCATTCGAAAAAGCCAAATACCTACCATTAAAAATTACAGCAGGCAAATTTCTAGTGCCACAGTATCATAATTCTCATAAACCATTAGATTGCTTTCCATCAGCCTACAATTGACCTCATTTTGTAATACTACAGGCACAACTCATGTTTCCAAGTGTAAAAATAAATGCTAAAGAACAAAATCAACAGAAGCAAACCTGAGTGAATACCCATTAATGATAAAGTTGGAGGTCAAGTTATATTAGGGCAACCCCTAATACAATTAGGGAGGTTTTCGGAAAGCACATATAGGCATCAACTCTACAGGATAAAGAGTGGGAAAGATATATACAAGAGAAATTAGTTGTACCTTCTATAATCTGGGATCCCACTCTCAGTACTCATTCCAGCTCCAGTCAATACCACCAGCTTATTACTGCAATGGGTAAAGCAAGCATGTGTGTCACGGTCCGGGATTTGAAAGGAGTTGGATTCTAACAAAAAGGCAAGACAGAACTTTTCTACAAGCAAACTCATTAGTCAATTTTATATTAACCTGCATGGTCAACCCCTGCCACACTCTAGGTAAGGTTACTGACTCATGCTTCTCTAGTCCTAATAAGGATTGCAGATTGAAGAAAATTGCTGCTGACCTTTGATCAAAAAATTGATATAAAAGGTCGATGTCCTTACTGCTGGGAGCAGATGCATCGGGAATCATTTTCTTGTCCCTCAGATAGTCCGGAATCTTATTTTCTTTGATAACAGGTGAGGTTCCAGGGACTGACATCCGGTTTGTTGTCTGCACAAATCTGACCTGCTTTCTGAAGAGCAAAATGTTTCTTCCTCCATTTAATAAATGCCACCTTCGGTTATTTGATGGAATAGCATCTGTAACCATGACAGCAACTCAATAAAAGGCCTCGCAAACAACACAAAGCGAAATTGTAAAGAAAGGCATTACTCAATCGAAAGAAAATAATGCACACGGCTTGCCTGCCAGAGAAGTCCCTATAAATTTTCTTGCACTCTTGAAAGTCTGAAGGTTCAAACAACAATTACTGAGTGACATTCAGAATGGGAGTTAATACTTAATAACAGCTACTCATATATAAGTATGAATCAGAAACTCTAGAAACTACCGAAAGTTGCAGAATATGTCAATCATGATGTATGTGGTTCTATTGGCTAGATACATAACCCATTGACTCAATTTGGTTAAGAAGATATAAAACTGCCTTGTTACTAGGTTTGGGCTATGCCGCGTGGTTCCATCCCAAAATCAATTGGTATAAGTAACTCCCTACGGATGTAAGGCGGGTTGTTTTCTCCCTGCTCCTCCAATGTGGGAAAACTCACATGTGTACACAATAGACGCATATGATTCAAACATCACTACCTTCAATCAATATATAATGCCCAATTTCAACAGTCTTGTTTCACATGTACAAAACCCACATTCCAATTTTCTTAATTGAGCTATAGGGTTCAAGCTAAATCAAGGTCACATTTTTCTTTCATCAAAGTTTTTTTCCATCAAATGGGTACCCATATAAATGGCAATCACCTAAATTTGAAATACTGGAATTCAGAAAGACTGTCCTAACCCATACGGGACTAAATTTTTTAATCATGATAAATTAAGTTTGAATTGTAAAAATCAATCAAAATCACACCCAAATAAAATTGAAAACTAAAATATTAACCAATCGAATTCAGTTTGTATCAACATTCAATCAATAACAGAAATGCACAAAAACAAATAGTTGGAATTTAAAGAACGGGATTAAACTTACAGAACCAAAAGGGTAAAATCTCCAAGCAAGAGGCATGATGTGAATTTGGAGAATGCAATAGTTTCTGGGTGCTTCTCGTTCTTGATTTCTTATTAATTCTTCTGTTCCCACAACTGTTGGCCGTTTCTCAGCCGCCAAAATTACAAACTACATCCTTTTTTTTTTTTTTTAATTTTTTTTTACTGTATTTTATTTTGGGGGTGGGGCTGTTTGTCTGTTTGGGTCGTTGGGGGTTTGGTTTGAACTTTGAAGTTTGGGGTTTGGGTAGGTTATATGGGCTAACAATATACTCCATCCGGTATTAAAAGTGTTACTTATGTTCTTTTCTAATCTAGGAGAGACGTCTTTTATTTATTTGATTCGAGTTTGGTGTAGATTGCATCATATTTAGGTGATGAGTCTTAGTATATATGCACTTCTATCGAATTGAGTCAAGTAACTTAGAAGTCTATGCAACATTACATATTACTCCGTATTAGATATATCTCTATGGCTCTATGTCAACTAAATGCTTATTTCGATTCAAGTATACTAGTTTATTAGAGCGGGATTAATTTTATCAGGTTTACTCTTCACCACCCACTCCAACTTCCATCTATACACTCCTATATGTTTGAAAATAAGATTATTGTCAACTTTAGACAACACTACAGTTTCAAATCATCTTAAATCAACATACGTGAGTATGTGACTAATAATTTCGGAGAAAAATAAGGGGATGTGTAGGGATATTCTAATGAGATCTCCATGTCCTAGCACCCACTCCCATAAACAAACACCTCCCTCCTAATGGCACTCCAACTAAAGATAAGTCCATGGAAGAAAACAGTGGGAAAACACAAACAGAGATTTCCAGCCATGGAGTTATTCACAATTCACCTTCCTATCCCAAACCAACAATTCCCACGTTCAAAAACCCTTAAAACACTCCAACCCTTAAAAACCCATCTCCCCAAAACATCAAATTCAATCATATTATCACCACATTCTTCAATTATTACCAAAAGAAGAACCCTAAATCTCTCAATTTTTGCCCTCATTTTATCATCTTCTCTCCCATTTACTATTCCCAATGCAATTGCAGAGGATATTCAAGAAAAATCAGAGCTTGAACTTGAAAGATACACAGATTCCAAAGAGGGTTTCACTCTTCTTAAACCTTCTTCCTACATTAAGGTAATTTCACCCCCATTTCTTTCTCTTCTTTCAGTGGGAATTTAATAAAAAAAAAATTGTGTTTTTTTTTTTTTTTTTTTAATTGGAATTTTGTTTGTTGGTTTGAAGGTGGATAAAGCAGGAGCAACTGTATTGCTTGAGGAGGAGAATAAGAAAGCAAACAATGTAGGGATTGTGGTGAACCCAGTTCGGCTTACAAGTCTTACAGAATTTGGGACTCCTCAGTTTGTGGCTGATAAGCTCATTCAAGCTGAAAAACGCAAGGTTAATTTTTCCCTTCTTTTATTTTAATTTGTGTTGGTTTATTGAGAAATTTAGTGTTTAATGAGTATTGATTAATGGGTATTTCCTGGAAATTTGAATGGGTTATTTTTGAAATGTTGATTGAATAAAGGATTATTCTGTTCTAAGGTGAAATAGCAATGTTTGCAAGTTACTTCGATTGGAAAGGTGGATAATTGTGACTTTGTGAGGATAAATGAGGATATGGATTGATTAAAGAAGATAATTGTAAATTTGTAAGTCCAATTACTTATGTTAGTGTAGTGATTGTTTCGTCTGATGTTCCTGGTATGATAACTTGCTCGGTCTGTTGTATGTGGTCTGTAGTATGTAGTAGTATATGCTTGGCATTGTATAATGAATGTGGATTATAGTTGCTTGATTGAATAACAGTCAAATGTTTAGTGCTGTCCAACTATCTGGTTCTTTTGGTATTGAAGAACATAAATGGAGGAGGTCGATTCTTTAGAGATACTGAGAGCGGCTTAGGGGTCTGATTGAAGAGGGTATATAGTTTGATGATTATAGGAGGACTTAGCTACAAGCCTACAAGTTTAAACACATCTACATGTTCAGTCGTCATACTTGCCATGCTCCAAAAACGTGCATGGTGTCACCTGTTTTAAAATGTTTATGCTTCCATACCCATTTCTAGAGTATTAGATTTTTGGACACGGACTCTTAACAGGTAATAAGAGCCTAAGTAAAGTAACTTCAGTTGTATTTGTGGCAAATACAATGATACTGCTATACAAGTGTAGCACACTCAAACTCTATATGATAAACTGAAGTTTCCTGGTGATGCCGATTTCTATATTAATAGTCTCTAGCTAACCATTACGAAAAGACTTTTATATCATCTTACATCTTCGGTTGCCCTGCTTTTCGTAGATGGGAGCTAACCTCATTCAGTGAGCAGTAATTTCTTGAATTTCTAGATCCTTGTGGATGTTATAGAATAGGAGGGGCTAAGTAATGAATAACTTGACAATAGATGATGTCTTTTGCAATTTGAAATGTCTGGAGATTGGCTTTCTTCTTGCAATCTTGAGTTTTGTCCCACACATTTAATACTCCATTGCATTTCACAAAATGCGCTATGAGTTTATGACATGGGTTTTCTTCTTTCTGGGATAAAATTATTTTTGGTGTTAATAGGAAAGCACCAAGGAAGCTGAAGTCATAGGAGTAGCAGAAAGACCTGGCCTCGATGGCTTACCAGTATATGAGTTCGAATATGTAGTTGATAGCACAAGAGGAGGAATGAAAAGGATATTCTCAGCTGCATTCGTCTCTAGAAAGAAACTCTACTTGTTAAACATATCTCATGTCGACAAGCCAGAAAGTCCTCTTGACAACCATACGAGAACAATACTGGAACAAGTACTTCATTCCTTCGATGCTGTACCTTCTACATAAAACTTGTTTGCACATTCTTCTCCCTCTGGTTAATGTATATTCTCATACATCCTTCAAATTTACAGCTTATTGTTCATCCAATTACATTCTTTTTCCTCTATAACATTTTTGAGAACAACAATTTTGGAAACAAGATCCAGATTTAGCATCATTTGTTCCATCTTCTTTGTAAGCTGCTAGTATCTGCATTATAGCAGGTTTTCAATTCTACTTGCATGTATGGCTCTCGGTGCCTGTCGCAAACTACACAAGAATCCTCTAGTCTCTGTATGTGATGATATATAACATGAATCTTGTGTCCCAAATTTGTGTTCTATAATGTGTGCCCATTAAATAAAACATACATACTAGTTACATTATTGGCTGCGATATTAAAACATGAACTGATGAACCAATAATAAGAATAACAGATTAACAGGTTGCAAACATTGTGGTACATAAAAAGATTTCCATTTGCCCCAACTGGATTAAAGGATGTCCATTGTGGAGATTATTTGGGAAGTTTGCATTCCTCTAGAAGGAGACATATGGACTGTGTGTGTAGACGTGAAGTTCTTATGTAAGAGGTTCCAGCAATACAAACGACGGTCACTTGGTTTGTACGAACAAGTCCACATATGACCGATATGGGAATTGCTTCCTCGGTTCCTCCTACCGGATATGCACCTATTCGGACTCATGGATGAGAACAACCTGAAACCCCCTTAAAGAGATAGAACAAGTCTCAGTTGATAGACAAAAAACACACACACAAAAGTCATTATTTCTATCTATTGGTAAAAGTCATTATGGACGTTATCAAATCTAGGTTAAAAGTCAAAAAAAACCCCTTTGAAAGAGAACCATATTACATCATTTACATCATTACATGAGTAACTTTAAGATCCCTACTTTCCTTAAAAAAAAAAAAAAAAAAAAAAAAAAATAATAAAAAAAACTTTAAGATCCCTACACTTCAACAAGGAGCTTATTTTTATGACATTATGTTGACCATACTACAATTTTTTTATGACGAACATGTAAAGCTTCCTAAATAGATTTCCTACCCATATTTTTTGGGGCAAGTGGAGAAGTCCACATGATGCTTGTCTTTTAACTACTTCCTAATTAGATTAATCTAATTTTTATTGTAGCGTAAGACTAACGATGACTCATTATACTATTATATTTATATACTACGTATTTACATTGTTGCATCATATGGTTACCCTAATACTCAATATCTGACTGATTCTTGCTATTATATTATTGTAGACAAATTTCAACCTTAAATTGCGTGCTTAAAGTCAGAACGACAATGTCTATGATAATGTTTGTCCAATTCCGAAAATTTTCATGAACATATTACTCGTAGTATCATGCATAAGGAAGAAAAACACATTTTTGAAGATGAAATTAAAGACCGAGTGACTCATTGTTTGGCCATTAAACCTTACACAAGTACATAAAAATGTGTTATTTTATTTAGTATTAATGTTGCCAACTTGCCATCTAGCTAATCGTACAATTTGTTGTTAGTGTATGAGTAAATTTATGGGGAACATATAATGGTTTATTCTTTTAATGAGCTATAAGGTTTGGAGTATCTCCTTACAAATGCTCTTTGGAATAAAAGACAGGTAGATATAGTTCTAGTCTCTACCTTAGACAACAAGCTTTTGCTATTATGGTCTTCAAAGAGGTTAACTTTAAACAACTTGTGCAAGTGCTATTGATGGAACTAATTGACACTTTAGTGCCAAATAAACTGCCAACCACAAACCCAAAATATAAAGCATATGGAACATATTCGAGAGAGGACATTACTAGCTAATGAATCAATTTTTTTTTTAAAGTTATGTAAGAAGAATTGCTTAATGGTGTCGGAATTTTGCACATATCAATTTGGCTCATATTTGCTGCGTAGGCCCTTTGGGAGTCAAAAGAAAGGTAAGAAATCCGCACCCTAAAGTGTTAACGATGAGAATAAAACTTCAATGATGAATTAGAAGGTAGATTGCCATTCTGTAATTTAATAACAAAAGCTGATGTCAAGTGGAGAAGTACACACAAATACACAATGACCTAATTGCATGTCCATTAACCACTCTCTAATAACAATATTCTCCTTTTGGTTGTTGCGTAAGATTAACGATGACTAATGACTGATGATACAAATAGGTTTAGTTGTTGTATCATATGGTTATTTTATTCTATGATGATTGATTATAGCCGCATTGGCTGACTGATTCTCAATCATCATCTGTCTACAACTCTAACTTCTCTAACTTAGTACAAAATATCTAAATTTCTTATGTTGAATTTGATATGAAATGGATAGTAATCTTGCTATACATATATTTCTCCCTAAAAAATTTAGTGCACTATACATTTTGGCCTTGTTTGACAATTGGCTGCTGGCTGTAGGCTGTCGGTTGGGTTTGATTAGCTAGTTTGACTGGTTGTTTATATTGGTTTTTTTTGTTGGTTGTTTGACTTATTATTAGTTTAAAAACATGTTTGGTAAAATTGGTAGTGTATGTTATTAATACTACTCCAAGTAGCTTTTTCATTTTGGCTTAAAAGTCAGCTTTTCAGCTGGCTGAAATGAAAATGAAAAAGCCAATTACCAAACACAAATTTTGGATGTTTGACCAAATGAAAAAACTAAAAGCCAATAAAAAAGCCATTTACCAAACAAGCCCTTTATTGGTCCATAAAAATTATTCATTCTATTCAAAAGTAGTATTCGTCATATTGACTTAAGTCCAGTCTCAATCTTTTATAATTAAATAATAACTTTGATTTTACTAGAAAATTTATATGATAGATTGGTTTTTTTTATTCCATAACCTTCAAATTTTAACATGAATTTAACGGTAATTGATAGTAGTTACATATAAAGAAATGTAATACTACTTTTAATTTTCTATAAGACATACTACTCCATTATACATATAACCAGATGAAACGCACGGTTTGTTAGTATTTTTTTTAAAAAATATTTTTCATATTTATGTGATTAAAATTGTTATTATATTAATTTTAAAATATTAGATAAAATTTTTAATATCAAAAGATAATATTTTATATTTAATTAATTTAAACTTTAAAATCTCGTTTGTCAATTTTACTTACGTGGCATTTGAATCATTTAATTGTAAAAGATTTTAATAATCTCTTTTTTAATTGGCTACAACTTAACTTTATTATCCTACATGGCGCACTAAAATAATTAAATCCTAAAACTCGGGAAAAAACTCCCTTTTAAATATATATATTAGATTAGATTATAAATTTGAGAATGCTGTCTAATTTTTTCAACTATAATTAAACTCTGTTTTATAAATCTTCATAGTATTGCATGCATATACATATCAATACAACCCTAAAATATAGGAATAATACGACAATTATTTCGATTAGAGAATAATATATCCAGTTATTATGAGAATCATCTCAAATCTTTTAATATTAATATTATTGTATTTTTTTTATTACTCTTACGAGTCAAGGTGGGACTATTCTTAAGAACATTAAATGAAGCGCAGCTAAGCTGGTCTCAAATCATTTGCATCAGTCAACCCTTCTCTCTAAACTCTTTCTCTCTCCTCTTAACCGAAGAAACCCAGCTTCAAACTCAACTTCTAAAGCTGGGTTTCTCAATTTTTCTGTAAAAAATCCAAGTTTTAATCCAATGGAGAAACACCCAGAAATTGATTCTGGAGAAAAACGGCTCAATGAGCTTGGTTACAAGCAAGAACTCAGAAGAGAAATGGTTAGACCATTAAATTTTACTTCAAGATTCAATCTTTAATCTTGCATGCCTATTAAATGTTTGTTGAAATGCATCAATGAAATTTAAGAACTAATTTTTGGTTTTGAATTTGCAGACTTTGTTCAAAACATTGGCAATATCATTCTCAACAATGTCTCTTTTTACAGGGATAACTCCCCTGTTTGGTTCAAGTCTTCAATATGCTGGGCCTGCTAGTCTTGTTTGGGGTTGGGTTGTTGTTTCCTTCTTTACTGGATTTGTTGGTATTGCTATGTCTGAGATTTGCTCCTCTTTTCCGGTTAGTCAGCGTATAATTTCTCTCTCCTCTGTTTTTCTCTTTTGTTGAAATTCTGATTCTTGTTCTTGAATATGGTTAGTTCTTTTAATTGTGTAGAATTACTGTGTTGTTTAGGATTAGTGATGTGTATAACTTGTTTTACTTCGGACTCTTCATTTCACCTCGATTACTTGTGTCAAATCCTTGACAGTCAATCCAAAATAGGATGATAAACTTCATTTTGGACCAAAGTCATAATTTTCATAGAATAGCTGAAACACATACTTGGACAAATATCTGTGTTCAGTAATTATACCCGAGTCTGAGTAATATAGTATGTAATAGTCTATTTCTTCATAAACAATTTCCATACTAGTCTCAATTGAGTTAGGAGTAAGAGCAAGGCTGTGTTCTATATCAGAAAATCAATGAATTTTCTTGAATTCGTTTTTTCAACAAACATTTGAACATTTTGGACTACCTTGAGTTTCTGCGAAATTAAATATTTTCTTCTTAAACTGTTTCAGAAACCCTTGATCTCGTTTGTAAAGATCATAGTATCATAATTATGGTGTGTTATCTTGTTAAGTAGTTCTATTTTTGGATTATGAACCAAGGGCTAATTGATCTCACTTACTACTATAATTTAGAATTGGTTTAGGTTATCGAATATATGCCTATAATCTGTCCTGGTACAAACAAAATTAAGAGTTGAACTTGAACATAAGTTCAGTTTATCAAAAATAAGTAACTAGAAAGTTTTGTGTTCTGCTGTCATGATTTTTTCACCCCCTTAGTATTCATGAGCAGGTTATAGAATTTATCACTCCCTCCGTCCCTTAATACAATGCCTCTTTCTAGCATTTATTACTCACGTAATAAAGAGAAAGAAGCTTTTAATTTAGGGATGGAGGGAGTAGAATATTTACACATAGTGCTTCGTATCTTTTTGAGTCTCATGCACTGTCCTTGAGTTACAAAGACTAATATCTCTTGGTTATCTATCTAACAGACAACAGGCTCTCTTTACTTTTGGGCTGCACATTTAGCAGGGCCGAAATGGGGGCCGTTTGCATCTTGGTGCTGTGCATGGTTTGAGACCATAGGTCTTATTGCTGGCATAGGTACTCAGGTAAGTAAAGTACTCTGAAACCTAAGAGCTTCACTTATCAAAAGAATTAGTTCAAGACCTTAGATCAAGTTGTTTTCATGGTTTGTTTTACAGGCTTATGCAGGAACAGAAGTTCTGCAGAGCATTATATTGCTGTGCACTGGAACAAACAAAGGTGGAGGATACTTTGCCCCAAAATGGTTGTTTTTATGCATTTATATAGGATTGACCCTCATATGGGCTGTGCTCAACACATTTGCCTTGGAGGTCATTGCTATCCTTGACATAATATCGTTGTGGTGGCAGGTGAATTCCATAATTTCTCGCTATGTACAAATAATCACAAACATATTCACTGTCTTGAATTTAGCTTTGTACTGAGTAGAACTTAGAAGACATAACAATATTTTTTTCTTGTAGATGATTGGTGGCGCGGTTATCATTATTATGCTTCCTCTGGTGGCTATGACTACAAAGCCAGCCTCGTTTGTTTTCTCTCATTTTGAAATGGCAAGCTCAACAGGGGTAACAAATCATGCATATGCAGTCATGTTATCCCTACTTGTTAGCCAATATTCACTTTATGGATATGATGCAGCTGCACATCTTACTGAAGAAACCAAAGGAGCAGATAAAAATGGACCCATTGCAATTCTTTCTAGTTTAGGCATCATTTCAGTTATTGGATGGGCATATATCCTGACCCTCACCTTCAGCATTCAGGTATATGTTGTAACTTGTTCCAGTTCACAAGTATCTTTTTTTAAGTATTTATTTCTGAGTAACTGAATATAGAAGATAGTACAGTAATGAGTAGCACTTGCAAATTCTATTTCTGCATACAGAGAATCAATCAAAATGTTGCTAAACACCTTTAAATTCTAGTCCCTCAAAAAATGGAACTTTCTAACTAAGCATATGAATGAGAATAACTTAAGATCTGCGTTCACTTTCTATAATGGAGTCTGTTAGACTTTAGTAGGATCTTAATATCTTAGTTCTATTTGATTTTGATTTCGAAAGTTAAATCTTTCAATTAGTCCCTGGTTGAATATTTTTCTGATATTGTTAGAAATGCGTTATCATTTCTAAAGTGTAAACTTGGACTTTACCTGACCATTCAGGATTTGAACTACCTATATGATCCAAACAACGAGACTGCAGGAGCATTTGTACCGGCCCAAATACTTTATGATGCTTTTCATGGAAGATATCACAATGCTACTGGAGCAATTATCATGCTTATTATCATTTGGGGATCATTTTTCTTTGCTGGGCTTTCTATCACTACAAGTGCAGCCAGGGTTGTAAGTAACACAGTCCTTAATTCAGATGCATTAGTAAAGGAAGAGACTTCTCTTTGCAGTCTATTAAATGAATTTAGAAGGACATTAATTCTGTTTTTGAAAACTTCCTATTTTCCCCTTCATTTCTCATGTCCTCTTCATAAGTTCATATATTCAGTCCACTTTCTTCAAAATCTCATGAAATGCATTATTTTCATATATTCTTAATCAGGTATATGCATTATCTAGAGATGGAGGAGTCCCATTTTCAACCATTTGGCGAAAAGTGCACCCAAAGCATAAAGTTCCCTCTAATGCAGTGTGGCTCTGTGCAGCTATCTGCATTCTTCTTGGATTACCAATACTCAAACTCAATGTTGTCTTCACAGCTATAACATCAATTTGTACAATCGGGTGGGTTGGTGGCTATGCAGTTCCAATCTTTGCAAGGATGGTTATGGCGGAAAGTAACTTCAGACCTGGGCCATTTTATCTTGGGAGAGCGAGCAGGCCAGTTTGCTTAATTGCATTTTTATGGATTTGTTACACCTGTGCAGTCTTTCTCTTACCTACTTATTACCCTATCAAATGGGACACTTTCAATTATGCACCTGCTGCTTTGGGTGTAGTTTTGGGTCTGATTATGCTTTGGTGGGTTGTAGATGCTAGGAAATGGTTCAAGGGGCCTGTTAGGAATATTGATGGCCAAAACGGCAAAGTTTGAAAATCTTCTCTCTTCTTGTAAACAATATAGTTTTACACGTATTCTACTCTCTTTGTTCGTAATGATATGCATCTAGACAAAGATGACTAACAATCTCCGATCAGCCAACAACAAGATTCATACGAGAAGATTGTTGTATATTTTTGTTAATGCCTGACAGATCTTGTAATAGGAAGGAAAAAAAGGGGTATAAAATTGTTAAGAGTATGATACTTCTGTTGGGTATGAATTGATCTGGATACAGTTAGCCAGACTTGGCATGATTCTGATCATAAGTTCTGCTAGTATTTAGACAACAACTAATGAGTACATCACAGTGGAAATTAAGTTTGCTTTCTATATACTTATGTTTATACATTGCACTAATATAGAGCTAAGTATTGGCCTGAAAAATCAGGTCATAACAGAAAAAGGTCTGTCAGAATCTGATGAAATCAGGACCAAAGTGGTCAGAAAATTGTGATTGGGGTCAGCCACACCGCCACACCCCATGATATGGTCCGAATGAGCAAAGTTTTGGGCCAGACCATACTTGATCAACTATGACTACTGCCTAGGAACCATTTCTGCATCTACAAAACTCGGCAACTGTGGGAATTGCTGCATTTGTAATCTCAATTCTCTAACCTCCTCTACCCAAATGCTGTAGCTTGAATTCTTTGCTAGGACATCAGATGAAACCTCCTTGTTGTCTATCAACTTTTTTGCATATCCTTCGAATTCATCAATACCCTGCAATAACTGAGCCACATTGCTTGAGTTCTTCTCTTGTCTAACCTTCTCAACCAACTCCCTAGCTTCTTCCACATGTGCCCAAAAACACGAATCTTGTGTTAAACTCGCAAACTTGCTCCTCTTGCTCTCCTCTACGACATCACTATACTTCTCCCTCCACCACTTAGAGAAAAGCTCGTGTCTTCTCTCTCGCCCATTCCTCAGGTAATGTCCTTTCTTCAAGTGCTCACCACTTCTGTAATACTCTGCAATATCCAATGGCTCAACCAAAAGCTGATAAAAGTGAGAAGCATTCACCCATTTCCGCCTTTTGTGAAAATCATGAGGAAGTTCATTGTTATCAATTTTACTGATCACATTATCCCAAAAACTTGCTAGCTTGATTCTGAACAAGTTAACTTGATAGTCTCTTTTTGATGCTCTTCGCTTGAAAGAGTCGTAGTACCCCATTTGATTCTCCGACTCATCACAGGATGCTTTATACCACTCTATCTGTGCTCTGTGAGGTGTTATTTTGGCAAGAGCTATAGCAAGTCTTGCACTGTTAAGACTAGGAGTCAAACGTGTTTGCTTCACCATTTTAAAGCTGTTTTCGGCCTGTCTAGAAACTGATTCCTGCAAAACAGACCAAAAATATGTAAGCTGAAGGAATTATCTGATGTTATAATCAGATTTCATGTCAAATTTTATTAACCAAGTACCTGACTTGCTAATCCTGATGACTCTACTGCCAACTTTAACCCTGCATCATAGCTCGACGCAGGAACATCTCCATGTATAAACCCTCTTCTCATCAGAAACTGAAAGGACATTCTCTCTACACAACCACCATACTTCAAGTGATCCTCGCAACACGATCCTGAGCTCCCCATTGCAAGCATCAAATACAGCAACTTAACAACAGCATCAGCATTGTCAACACAGACAGTCCCTTCATCTGAGTAGAACAAATAATTCCCAAAAGGCCAGTATAACCCTGCAGGAATTTCCATATTTTCTGCAGTCTCTTTTGCTACTGCCTCAGTATAAGCCAGTACAAATCTAAACAACTGATCCTTTATTTCACCAGTTACATTAAAAGGTAGTTGCTCAGATTGAGATGTTATCGACAACTGAATTAACTTAAGCAAGCAATGGAGTTGAGTGTTGATGGGAGCTAAGGGTGCAAAGAGAAGCCTTGGAATTATATCATGTTTAAGCACAACATGACAGAAGTTTCCTGCCCATCTTTGTCGAAGGAGCGATTTCGAGAGGGATTTGTTGCCTAAGAGGGGTGAACCAAAGGTGATACAGAGGATTTGTGGAGGTGAAGGAATAGTTTGAATGTAGGAAAGTAGCCATAATGTTGTTAGTGATGCTATTGCTCCTCCTATAGAATGTCCTGTCAGTATAATTGACTTGCTTTTCTCCAGTAGTGATTTCATCTGCATGTAAAACAATATGATTAATTGTTTTTTCCATATAATTAGAAAATTTTGGGTAATTGGGTTCAAAGAACAACAAAGGTTTCATCTTGACTTGTTTTGATTACACTAGATTGAACTTATAGGGTTGTACAAGTTAATTTCACCCAAATGTATAAATTGATAGAGTATAAAACATATTACTGGACCTTAACCACCAGTTTAAACTTTTGGTTAAGTTGGTTCTCTAACATGGCATCAGATCCAGCGTGATACAAAGGTCACGAGTTCTCCCACTTATAAGTGGAATGTTTTGCGCGGTATGAGAAGGGCTCATGCTACATATTCCTGGAGGCATGACCTCATTAATTACTTAACAATGTAAAAACGTCGGTTAAAATATCATAGATTTGTAGGGATAAGTTGTGGTAGACCCCAAAATGGTATGAAGTACCACTTCGTAACAATGATGCATGATAAAGTTGAACTAAGATCATTAAGTGGGTCAAGTAATGGTTGACTTACGTGTTAGGTGGCTATTGAAAATTTGTACTCGGTAAAAGTTAAGTCGTCGCACGGAATGAATGTCTGGAACGTGTCCTTTATTATATGCATAAATACCGTTACATTTTCAACCTTAATTGCATAATTACAAACCACTAAACTAGAAATCATTTTCAACCTCGATGAAAAGAGTGTGAACATCTCATCACATCTTATGTCCACTGAATTATGATTTAAGGGATATTGATTTAGACATTTAGTGCTAATTCTAAACTTAGCAATATCTAAATTCTAAAGTTGGGAAGTGGCTTTTATCATTAGCCTTTGTTTATATTGCTTGAATTCTTGTAAGGAGGTGTGCATTAGAGTAATTTACATATACAAGTATGGAGATATTTTCTAAGTTATAACTCCGTTTAATACAAGGATTTCACCCAAATTTACTTCTAGTGAAACTAATTGGAGAGTTGTAAAGAAAAAGTTCACTGAAACTTGTATCGACTTTCCCAAGTCATGGATAATGTATAAAATCATTACACGATAACATCGATAATTTTTCATAATGATCTCGAAATTCCCAAATCATGGATAATGAATAAAAATATTTCACAGCAATAATTATTCCTAATGATCTCAAAATGTTCAAAACTTCAAACGTACATAACTTTTATTTATTTTGATCTTTGACTGATAGATTTTATTTCTTAATTACTATAGACAACTTTACATCTATGTTTACAGAAGCTACAAAATATCAATATTTAGTCAAAGTAGTAGCAAACTAAGGGTGGCATTGCTGTGGTTTCTGTTTTTTGTTTTTTAAAATGATATGATATGTGTCTTATAATTAATCAAAAATTATATAAACTTATTAAAATTATGATAATTTTGAAAACTGGAAACACCTCATATTTTTGGTTTTTGGTTTTCAAAAAAAACTGAAAACTGAAAACCGAAATTGATGCCAAACAAGCCCTAAGAGATTAGTTTTAATTTCATTGTTGTTTGATAATCCAACAACCAAATCTGAAATTTACCATCAAAACAATAATAGTTAGACACTCCTATTTCAAAAACCCAACGTCACTCTCTCTCTTCAAAATTCAAGCTTTACCTCTTTGACCAAAGATTCAACTTTGTGCCTTGTTCTAATTTTTGCAGTCCTACCACGAGTTTCTTGACCACTACAATTGATATGACAAGAAAAGGTATTGAACCTTTTAAATGTGAACGCAAATTGTATCTTATGATTCTAAGTCTAGTCGGTCAATCAACTCCCTTCCATATATCAAACAAGATTTAGTAATTTCATTCTATTAATACTATTGTTTATCCGAATTAACAACAAAGTCACTTATTTATAGGTTATTTATAGAAAAGAGAAGTTCGAACATGTAACCTACCGTACATATGCTATCAGTTTATGCTACTATGCCAAGATCACAATGGTTTCATAATCTCATTATGATAAGGGAAGAAAACATTAACCAGTACTCGTACTTAATGTTTCAATGTGAAAGGTGCTGATTTAATTTTACCAAAAACTGTCATTTTCCAAGGTTAACTGGCTTTGACAAGCGTGTTATAACAATGTTGTATGATATACTTGAAAGACAACGGTTCCTAAACGTATCTAACTCTTTTAAGTTACAATTAGGTTTGTTAGAAAGTGATTTTTTTTTTTATGCATGTCATTGTCCTCCAACATTTTTTTTTCTTTTCAAGTGTGATGTACTAAAAAAGTAAGGGATGCTTCTTTGAAATCATCTATGTAGTCCCATCACTATCTTACTAAGAATATGAATAGATTCATTTCTATAACATGTTAAAGGGATGAAGTTAATGTAGGATTTTAAAATCTTATTGATTGCTACTATGCTTGATTACTTGGCTAGTATAGTGGTATTGCATGTAGGTTTCACACAATAGAAACACTCTAATATTCGGTTCTAGTACAATGATGTTTCATATCAAATTCAATCACTTTTTTTGTATTTGGATGGATGAGCATGAGAATCGAATCTTTCCAATTGAGATAATTGACACATTTATAGAAATATACAAGGAAGCTTACTAACCAATTAGAACATCAATCCCCCCCATCCCATTAAACAAAACTAAGATTGTATAATAAACCTCCTAAAAGAGTAAAAGTGCTAATCATAAAAATAATAATAATAATAAAAATATATATATACTTAATGCATGAAATTATATCATCACATCATTTGTTAATCTTGCTTTAAATAACCCTGCTAAAAGTCCTAATCATAAAACAAGATTGTATAATTTTATAAAAAGAAGAAAAATTAGATTTTGAAATATCACCTAGCAGCCCTATGAATCTATGATCAATACTCAACAGTATCTAAACAAGCAAGATAGAAACTTACCAAGATAATAGTATTTCCGAAGTTTATTTAACTTTGAAATGTATAAGAAGCACTATTTACTTAAGTAATGGTATTATTGAACACTATATAGTCTATATTTCAAATTCACCTCAAAGAAGAATATACGTATTACAAATTTATGTTACATAAATTGATAAACATAAAGGCCCAACAAAAGTATGTGTAAAAAAAAAGTGTCTATGTGTCCAATTTAGTTATTTTGTGAAATTTTCTCTTAACATCAGCCTAATATTAAGGGTTGGAACTTAAAAGTGTTTCAATTCAACCCATATACGAATGTCAAGAACCCGATACAAGTGGTTGAAGTGAAAGGAGAATTCTACACAAATTTTTTGTATTTTTTAATGTCAAGTAAACTTTAAGCCATGCAATAAAATACACGTACATAAAACTCTAACAAAAACACTTACGTTAGTTATCTTAATATGAACGGTCCAAAACACAAGCAAGATAGAAATACACAAACCTGAGCTTGAAAACTAGGGCAGCCATAGATGCCAAAGAAGAGCTGCAAAAGGCCAACATGAACCATAACAGGAGCCTCATCATGATCATCCCCATGTCGGCCGAGCCCGGAGAAAAGCTCACCAATCTCACCTTCTTGAAGGGCAACCATGTCGTTCATGTATGAGCCCGACCCTAACCCGAGATCATGCATGCCAGAGAAGGCAATGAGCCCGACTGGCCCGTTATGTTGAACAAGAAAAGGCCCGGATGCAGGGGAGTTAGCTTGGTTGCATAATCTCCATGAATCAAGTAATAGGTTTGTTGATGCTAAAAAATTTGCCACCATTTCAGTTGTTTCAAATCTGTAGTAAAATTATAAGAAAATTAATGTAGGAGAAAAAAAAATGGAATTTAGAAAGAATTCAAAGTCAAGTAGAAAAGAATGGAGAAAACAGGGGAAAAAACAGAGAAAAACAGGGGAGTTTGTAATTGTTTTTGTTAGAGTTAATGTATTTTAAAGTTTTTCTAATGAACTTACATTGAACCTTCGGCTTCCATCTTCTCAGACTATTTTCTTTCTTTCTTTTTTATTTTTCTTTTCCAAGAAATGAGGTTCAAAAAGATGAAGGAGAAATTTTTGACAATTAACTTTTTTTTGGATATTTTATTTATTTATTTGTTATTTTGTGGATACTATGATTAAAGTAAGAAAATGAATGTTGAGGGTTATATTTTGGGAGGATTGATAGGGTCATTTATTGTCAATGTCAAATATTGTGGGAGTGTTGGGACTTGGAGTGTTGTTATAATGATTATCATTTTATTAGTTTAAATTATCATAATATGATTATTCATGGTAAGTGTATCATAATATGCATGTCAAATTGTCAATAATGATAAGATGTGAATTTTGTAGGGTTAAATTTTCGTTTTAAGATGTAGTAATTCCGTTTTTGCTCCATTAGAAAAGAATAATATAATACTTTGTAGTACATTGAATCGGTGACAAACGTGTAACCATTATAAGCGACGAGACAAGTGTCAATTTGAGATTTTACTCTTTGTAATTTTAGCTGCCCCGACTCACATCACCTCACTCTTTACGTAAGTATTTATAATAGTTGCCCTTCATTTTGAAATTAAGTACTTCATGTAAGTTGGTTTAGTAATAGTAACTCTCTCGTCTTCACTGTTTGTTCTTTTTGTTTACACAATATCTTTTATTGTCTTTTGTGATCTACATAAAGAAAAATATTATTATTGACAATTAACTATATTAACAATCAAAATAACTTGTTAGGAGTGGGCTGTCAATGTAGAAAGGGTGTATGGGTGATTGGTCTAAAAATACAAGGTTTATTTTTTAAAAGGTAAGAAGAAGCATTCCGATACAACAAAATTTCTCACCAGTTTAATATATAAGGCTCCTTGAGAATAACAAAGAAAAAAGTAAGAATACTCATAGTCTCCTACTCTCAAAATGCCTCTAACAAGATTTAAATTTTCCGATTACAAACCTTACATTTAGATCAAGTACTAATTGAAATAGCTTGATAAAAAGACGAATAAATTATACGGAGAACATAAATTATTAGTTATCTATAAAAGGTGGGACAAAATATTTTAATTTATACCCTACTGTCGGGTAAGGTAGGCTATAATAAAACGATACTAAAAAAAAAAAAAGAAGAAAGTCTCCAAAATTGAGGTCTAAAACGTGTAATTTGGGAATGTGAAGTGAGAAAAGGAGAAAAAGTCATCTTTCAAAGAGTTTGATGCTTAAGGTAATCAAAAAGTATTTTTGGTATTGTGGTGGATGTTTCAGAATTTAGAGTGGGCTTGCTTGACAACAACTAACAAATTATGTGGGCCTCTTAATTAGTAGAACCCTTAATTATGATTTGAAATCATAGGTGCTTTGAATTTGAATCGAATGTTGAAACTACTGTCAATTTGTTAGACTTGAATCACTCCATAATCACTACTCACTAGTCACTATAGTGATTTTTATGAATGCTCAGTATAAACGCGGTTCTATGTCTTTTAGGGGATAATCACGTCCTAATCGAGTTCGCCCCTTCTTCTTAATTTATCAAGTCATACGGAGTATAATTATAATGTGTGTTCAAGGATTGTCTTAAATTGATTTGTGCGGAATGTTAGTCTAATATGACATTACACCTTACCATAAGCAAATACGTCGTATACTTATCTAGAATGATATGATACGTGACATGAAATCGCTAATTTTCACACAAGAGCAAAAATATGTTGAAGTATATACATAATTTTGAGTGTTATCAAAGAACAAAAAATCATGCTAGGATGAAGTGACATACAGTGATATCATAAGGACTAAGCCATTTTGGGTTGCCCATTCCTTGTGATTGGAGTTTTTCTTCGAAAGATTTACAAAGACGTGCACTCCAATACCATTGACGTCCAATAGCTTTGATAACAATAGTTAGCAAATGATCCATATACATTGGACAAAGCACAAGTTGAATTAGAGCTAATATAATCTGCATTCCTTGCAGTAGATTCTACCTGTACACAGCCAAGATTGAAGCAAAGGCAAACCTTCAACCCGTCTATCTTTTTCTTCGTTTGAGGGTCCTCCACTTCTGCAACAAAAATTCAGCCCCTTCTCTCAATGAAGCCTTCCTATTAAACTCGTAGTTCCACAGTTCTTTAACAGGAAGCCTCCCATTGGGATTATACTCAATAAGCTCCCTCAGTGTATTTGTCACGGTATAACACAAGTCTTCTCCCCACTCGTCTTTAAGATTTTTCAACCTTTCGTCCTCCATATCTATGTCTTCCTTCATTACAGCAAGAAAATCGAGGAGAGTTATTAAATTACAGTAAATGTGAAGAACTATGAACATAGGTTACATACTATATCGCTGAGACAAAGGCAGGACTTAGCATCATAAAAAATAAATCATTAACTCATAAGTTAATTAATTATATCCATTAAGATAAGATAGTAGTACAAAACTTAGGTAGGCCAAACTTTCAGCACTTTACCACTTCATCATAATTAAGCTAGGTTTGTTGTCATCCCTTTTATTTTTAAAGGGAAGCTGCTGAAACCCAACCATAAAGCCACCAAGCTAGACCGGCCCGGCGGCCCCAGGCCTCTTTGCATAATAAGCTGACCCGCTAACTGGACCGTTCAAGACGGACTCAGCTCAATGACTAAAGGTTTTCAATAGGTCTGCTAAAAAGTTTGAGGGGCCATAAGCTACATGAGCCCGTCAAAGGTTGCATTATTGTCCGTATCTTTGCCTGGTTTAATTGATGGATGCCAAAAAGATAGACTTATGATAAAAGCATAAAGAAAAGATGATTGACAGAGTCAATTATTAAGTACCTTTATTATTACTCCATCACAGAGAATGGCCTTAAAGGGATGCCAATCAGAAAAATCTTGAAGATTTGATTCCCACAAAGAGCATAATTCTACAGCTTTAATTTCTGCTATTTCGATGGGATATTTTCGCTTGCAAGCTTTCAAGAAACACAAAGAATCAAGCTCCCCTAGTTTCTTAACGCCAATGGTAGGATTTGGAAAATCTATCAACCCCTGAAACTCAAGCATACATATAAAATTAGCCTTAGATTTTGAAAATAAGTATGATAATAATTATCTTTATGTCAATCTAATTTCATGGCTCTGCACGTCAAAAATTGTTAAAGTGCAGAGCCATGAAGAAAACCCAAAGCTACTATAACTAGATCATGAAATCAATACGAAAATAAATAAGCTAACCAGACTACCAGAGTATGGATTTCAAAAACCTACATTCATCAATGCTCCACGAGCTTCATGCAGTTCACCCTTAGCCCTTTGTTCATTCACGAGTAGAACTGTTGCAAGGTTTTCTAAATCATCTACTTGTTCTTTCTTCTCTTGAAAATCTTTTCTCATTCCTAGAAATTGCTCGCAATCAGCTTCAAAGCTTTTCAATGTCTCAAGTTTTAGCTCGAGTCCTTGTCTACCATTCAGCTGGTTTTGGAGGTACAGTATTCTCTTGTGAAGATTTTCCAGCTCCAACTGTCATAAAAATGACACCTCCAATTCAGATATAAAAATTACTGAATACTTCAAAGTAACTATAATTATAATAACCACGCATTTAAAAGTATTGTTCCCATCAAGGTCTCATCAGCCTCTTGTTGCACTTTTTGGGGAACTTCAAGATGAGAGTTACGATCCTCGGATTTCTGAAGATTGATATAGAGTACTAAATAGAATTAATGTAGATCACATACATGCACAATGTAAAAACATCTAATGATGAATACACAAGAAAAATACAAGCATTCTAAAAGCTTGCTTATACCCCTAACATCAAGCTTTAGCTTTTCACGAATATTTAGAGCATCCTATCAGAGGGAAGTACTTCAACATTTAAGTAGTAAAATCTGTTTATGTGTTTTATCAAAAGTTGAATATTCTAATTAGACAGGAACTGTCATAAAATGATACCACCAAATCAGATATACGGAGTAAAAAATACTGAAAACTTCGAACTACAATTATAATAACCAGGCATTCAAAAGCATTGTTCCAAACCTTCTGCTTTTCTGCCAGCTTCATCAGGGTCTCATCAACCTCTCGTTTCACTTTTTGAGGAACTTCAGGATAAGAGCTACGATCCTCGGATTTCTGAAGAATGATAAGGCTAAGTACTGTCAAATACAAAGTCCTATACAGAATTAATGTAGATCACATACATGCAAACATAAAAACGTCTAATGATGAATACACAAGAAAATACAAGCATTGTAAAAGCTTGATTATACTACATAACATCAAACTTTAGCTTTTCATGAATATTTGGAGCATCTGTACTTCCAAAACTTAGATACTAAAACCTGTTTCTCTGTTTTTATCCAAATTTGAGCATTCAAATGAGATGGGAGGGAGTAACACCTTTCTGTTTTCCGCTGAAAGCTTTTCTCTTACACTTGCACATTGAGCTAAATGCTTCTTTGACTCTTGTCGGAGTTTCTCAAGCTCTTGTTTCCCAGATTCAAGCAACGACTGATGCCTTTCACATTTCTGAATGATCTTCTGAAGATGATTTTCAGCATTCAATAGTATACTTCTGTTCTCTGACATATATCAAAACCCATAAGAGTAGTTATAGTCTTTAAAGCTAACAAGTGTTACAAGATAAACTAATTGAAAACAGAATATACCAAACAATTGTCATTAGGTGCTTTTATATGAATAACTTCAATCTTAAAGAAAGCTAATGATCGTTTTTCTTTCAAAAAACATTAAACACAAAAGTATATACTCGTATTTCATACTAAGAGGACAATGGTTTCTATTCCATACCAAGGAGTAGTAATATTTAGCTGTCTGTAATACACTATGGTGAGATGATTGGTTTACAATTGAAAAAAGAAGGCATTTTCAAGCTCTCCTAATTATCTGACTACTATCAGCATTACCTAGAATGCAACGCAATACATCCTTATCAGGTATGAGTGCAGATTGCTACTTTTGTCAAACTAGTCCACAAATGTATCAGTAATTGTATACCATGTACTAAAATAGCTACATATAGCACCAATTTGCATGTTTTGGATTCATGGTCAGCACAGGGGTTTTTTGGGGCGAGAATTGGATTCATACTATGCGGGAAGGTTATTACATAAACATTGGAATCATTACCATAACAAGAGCACTAACGCGCCTGCAGCCCTGCAGGTGTGCAGGGGGTGAAAATTGGGTTGAGCAAATGAAGTCCATTTATGCATGTAACATAAACACTGGAGTCATTTTCCACTACCAGATGACAAACAACCCTTGATCTCCTTAATACTACTAAAACAAATTAGTTAAAGGGAATTTATATGAAGTACCTGCTTGTACTTTGAGGGTTTGGGTTGAACCAACAATCTGGCATCCATCTCTCCAACCTCTCTTTCGGTCACCGGCTTTCTTGTGAGTCATCTAATATACAATGTGAAAATTAACTTCAGAATCTAGATATAGAATCATGAACCAGTGTAGCAACCAAGGCCATCATAAATAATAAGCTCACATCAAGTTGCAAGTAATTTTTATTCCAAATTCATTTACTCTTTCATGACAGAAACAAACCAATGAATCAAATGATCATTAAAACCAAATAATTGGTCATCTAATGATTCTAATCTAGGCATTAGCTGAAATCAAATGTACGGAATCAATCAATCTCTTTATTAAAATCCCATTTGAACATACACTAACTATAATTATGTTGGCCTATGTATTAAAACAATATTACTCCTTTAGTCCCACAAACCATTTATCATCACTTTTACTTTTTGCACTATTCATAAACTTAAATAGACCAATTTTCTTAATTATATATAAAGAGCAAAGATTGCTCCAAATGTATAAAAGAGCGTATAAAGAGCAAAGATTACTCATATATACCTACTTTATTTTTCGACCTTATTTTATTTATCTGAACTTATCGGAACTTATATTTAAGTAATCTGAACAAATTTAGTTATAAAAACAAAAGGATCCTATAGCAAAGACAAAGGGTTATTTGAAGGTCTCTTAACAAAACTACACACTCCTATTAAAACCCAACTTTCACAGAAAAAGGAAAAGGAATCTGAATCGAAAATTGTTAATTGAATTCCATTCCGTTTGTTATATTGACAGTGAAACAAAGAGCCTAGAAAAAGCAAAAGGAATTTCAAGGGTATAAATAATTGCATGAACAAATTGATCAGAAAGTGTGTTTTAAAACAAACAAAAAGATTAAATTTTTAACAAATGTATTAAAGATTGAGGGTAAACTAAATTACAGATTTTACTCACAATTTGGGTATGGAAATATGTGGACGAATCATCAACAATTCCGCTTTCTTCCATTCCGCTTGAAGAACAAGTTTTAATTTTGAATTTTTGATGGTCAAGTGTAATTAGCAGAAAGATGAATTACTACTAGGACGGTTTTTTTTTTCCTCTTTTTCAATGCTTTCGCCCCACAAAAATTACTTACGGTCTGTTCTAATACGTTTATTTTCAGTTCAATTTAGCTCTAAATTTTCTTCTCTTATAAAATATTCATTTTGGTTCAGTTCAGTCTATGAGAACAGACCCTTAATAATAGTTGTAAATTTAGATTTGAATTTGTAGTGAGACTATTGATACAACACAAATTTGTGTGAGTTACTTCGTTAGTGTTGTAGCGGTTACTTCGTCAGAGTTACGAGAGTTACTCCATCAGTGTTATGGGAGTTACTTCGTCAGTGTTATAGAAGTTACACGGTCAGTAATATAAGGGTTACTCGGTCAGTGTTATAAAAATTACTTTATTAATTTACAAACGGTCACATAGTATGGTCAGCCATACACAAGACGTACTTATTTTAGCATAATTCAAATTTAAGATAGGCTCGACGTGTTCTAACTCCATCAAATCCCAACTGCACACTCGAATACATACTCTCTTTGCCTTAAATTTTTTTATTATTTATTATACTATTTTAATTTTTTAATAATATTTACTAAGTTATATATCGACTAATATACCAGTCAAAGTAATGCAAATATAACCATTTTTAAGAGCACAATGATTGCTCTAATCCGATAATATATCATGAACCTAACCTAAAATAAGTGACTCGGATTGAGAACTTCAACATGATCTAAAAACAACACCATAGAGCACTTGTGGATCCAATGGTCTATTGGTGTTAATGCCACCTTAGTTGCCATTTTGTTAAACATAGAAATTAAAATTTTTGGGGAAGTTATTTTCTCATGTAAATTTTGTTAAGTAGTTAATTGATTGATAATTTGATGTTCCACTTGAGAGTTGAGATGAACCTAGGTAAACAACTTTTATACAGAGTAACAAAGTCGGTAATGTTTCTACTTTTTTGTGTAGGCTTTAGAGTATTTGGTGAGAGTTACATAAAGATTTTCAACATCAACATACGGGGTTGATACCTATCAAATATACTCTACATAACCATGTACTATCAGTAGTAGTAATAATAGTTGATCAAAATTACTTGAAGTATATTACAAATTTGTGACAATTTCAATAGGTAGGTGATAGAGTATAATGCATGCTCCTCGGAAACCTCATTTTAACGCTCTAAAGCGTATTATCAGATATGTCAAAGGCACTTTTGATCATGGATTACATTTGTACCGTTCTGCACCTACGAGCCTTACTTCATACACAGATGCCGATTGGGCCGGGTGCCCGGACACACGGCGCTCCACGTCAGGTTACTGTGTTTATTTGGGTGATAATCTGGTCTCATGGTCCGCAAAACGACAGGCTACATTATCCAAGTCCAGTGCCGAAGCAGAATATAGAGGTGCCGCTAATGTTGTTTCTGAATTATGTTGGCTCCGGAATCTACTTCTCGAGTTGCATTGCCCTGTTTGACGGGCGTCTTTGGTTTATTGTGATAACATTTCTGCCGTATACTTATCTTGCAACCCGGTACAACACCACCGTACCAAGCACATTGAGATAGACATTCACTTTGTCCGCGACAAGGTTGCTCTTGGTGAGATTAAGGTCTTACATGTTCCTTCTTCATCACAGTACGCAAATATTTTTACTAAAGGTTTACCTCGCCAACTTTTCTTGGATTTCAGATACAGTCTCAGCGTCCGTCCTCCTCCCGTTTCGACTGCGGGGGTGTGTATATTTATATTATCTATCTTGTGAATATTCAGTAAAGGATATATTTTGTGTATTTTAGGTATTCTCATATTTAGGTTGTAAATCCTATATATATTCAATGAATGAGAAAGCCTCCTTCAAAGAGAATTACACAATTCTACAGTAGGATTACTAACAGTCATACAAAATGGAAGGAAATTTCTTCACTTGAAATGTACTCTCGCAGTCTTGAAATATGCTAGTGATTGTTAGGGTAAGGCAAGTCGTACTTCACATTTTCAACTGCCTGCAAATACATACAATACTAACGACAATAAATCAACAAGTTTAATATTAATAGTATAGATAGCATAATAGATTAAAACAGGGTACTTAATCTAGTATGTGTAATAGTAATACTGTAATAACGTTATAATAATAGGAACCACTAGTGGGAAAAACGCTATTAGTAACTGGCGAAAAGTGGCTTTTAGCAACTGGCGTGTGGGAACTACTAATGAGAATATTATTTGCAAGTGGCACTTGTTTGTTGCTAATAGTATTTATTCGAAACGGGCCGTGCTGGCACGCGGGCGGCACGACTCCGGCACGGCGGACCACTTGTGGGCCGTGGGCCGTGCTGTGAACAAAAAAATAAAATTCGGCACGGTCGTCGGCCCACTGGCACGACCCGTGGCACGGCCCATGCCCGATTATATAAATTTATTTAATTTAGTTTATTTTTATAAACTTATTTAACTAAGTTTATTTTTATAAACTTATTTAATTAAGTTTATATAAACTTAAAAATTATTTATATATACTTAATTAAATTAAAGTTATTAAAAAAAAATACTTCCTCTGTTTTCTTTTACTTGCAACATTTCTCTAAAAAGGAAATGTCACAATACTCGCAACACATTATAAAAGGAAAGTTACTTTAGGAAAAAACTATACTATTTCCCTTATTTAAAGCACATGGCCCACTAAATTACACTCCTAACTGTTAAAGGACCAACTCAACCAAAAACTTAAACTTATGGACCCATACCTGGTGCGAATTATTTCCACTTTGAAGGAGGGGCGGATGAGATTCGAACCCGTGACATTTGTGTCACGCTGGCTCTGATACCATGTTAACGGACCAACTCAACCAAAAGCTTAAACTTATGGTTGAGGCCCAGGAATATGTTTTATACTCTTTCACTAACAACCACTCATCCTATTTTAAAGTTAATTATATCAAGTAAACCCCACCTTTCTTAATTACCGCGCTAAAGAGTGTGTTGCATCTAAAAGAAAACGGAGGAAGTATATTACATAAACATAAACATAAATTAATAACATTATTTATATAAAATTAAGTTGTATTAAAAATACTACATCTGTTAACTATTATTTGTAACAAAGGAATATTTTATATCTCACAAATAATACCCCTTTGTTGCAAATAATAGTTAACGGGGGTAGTAAATATATATATCGTTTTTTTATTTAGATTTATTATAAAAAAATAAATAAATAAATAGGTTGACCCGCGGCCCAACACGACATGGCCCACCTGCCGTGGGCTGGGGGCGTGCCGTGGCACGGCACGATGCCATCTTTACTTGAGAACAATGGCGAACTCACTTAAAAAACAAATTTATGATGATGAAGTGTAATTAGCTGAAAAAATGGAGTGGTGAAATGAGTATTTTTCAGAGGGAAATTAAAAATGTCAGAAGCAACACCAAATTGTCAACTAAAATGTCATTTCCAAAACCTCGAAATTGTAGCATAAGGTTTACAGGTTATGGCAATTATATAGGTAATTATTACGATTAGAAATTGATTTTAGGGTAATGTTATATGTAGCCCTAAGGATTATATATAAGCATTAAATACATTCTTGGAAATTATATAAAATTAGGAATTTATGACAAAAACACGCGTAAATCAGTGTAATTAGTGTTTATATTTTGATGATTTCTTAACTTTTTACGATTTTCAAGTGTAAATTTAATGCTTATATATAGCTCTAAGGGCTATATATAACATTTTCCTTGATTTTATTGGATTATACGAGTACCATTTATATGGTTTATTTATTAGTTGACACGTTTGGACATTTTATTTTACTTTCTCTATTTTATTCTAGCTGGCACGTTTTGATTATTTTAGTTTTTCTATTACTCATATTCAAATTAGACATTTTTTTTCCTCTATACTTTATGTCAAGTCGTTGCACATAACCTGTAACGGAGACCTTGGGTCTCCAAGTATTGCAACATCATAAATTACCCTTGAGCTATAATTTTTCTATGTATTCATATAAGAAACATTTACTATTAACCTAATCTTAAAGGGGGCCAACAGTAAAGATAAAAGAGTTGGCGTTTGGGCCAAGACCTCCGCCTCTGCATGGAGTACTTGTTACTTAATGGTCTCCGAGTATCTAATAATTGAACAAAAAGTATATGAAACTATTTGAACAAGATCATATATCACACATCGCCACAAATGTTGCAATAATAATTTTTTTATTTATTTTTTTTTTTTTTGGCAAAAAAAAATAAAAAATTATTAAACAGGGGAGGGGTTCCCAACATTTTAGTTACTAATAAACAGGGAACACTATCCAAAGAAAAGTTACTCTGTGTATTTCATGTTTAATAGGAGTACGAAACTACGAATTAACACATAAATTAAATGTAGTAGGATCGCACATGATTGTCAAAACACAAGTGTTTCAAAAATAAGTTAACATGATCGGGAAAACATACGACTTGTTTCTCAAAAACACCATTCTTCATGCGACCATCCATGCATTTATTAAGTCCTACAACTGCATCATGCGCAGAGCACCTCTCTGTTGAGTGTCTTGACCACTTTTACAATCACTTGGAAATTCATCATTTTCCTCTTCATCAATGACCCTAATTATCTTGACATCTAGGCTAACTTTGCCATCTTTTCGCCCAGCTAACGTAAACACACAGGCATCAAACTCATGTAAAGCATTGTCGCGAGCAAAATGAATCCATCCGCTAATGAACTGGCCTACAACTCTTTTCTTGTCGAAGTTGTACCTTGCACGCCATTCCCGACCATTTAGCCTAAGGATCACGTCTTGATGGGAGGGGGACATATACTTGTCTGTCCATGCTTTTGGAAGAGCCTAAATATATAAGCCCCAAATTAAATTATAGTCGTATTAATTTATTGGATACAAATATGTAACTGAAAAAAGGGTTCAATGTTACAAGTACCAATTCACCACATAAACAATGTTACAAGTATTGAACAAAATACTAAATGCATATGTTTAAGCACGTATACATGACTTACCAATCGGAATGTCTTGGACACATGCGAGGATGACAATATTATGTAGAAGCTCTCTTCTGTTAACCCTTGTGATGCTAATTTCCGAGCCCTATCTTTTTCACCATATGTTGGCTCCCGTTTCCTGCTAGGGATTTCATGCTTTGGTGTCTTGTCGTGGATCAAAGCACCTTCCAATGTGCACATGATTGAAAAAACACTCATTATAGAAATCGTGCACAAATTTGAAAGGTTAGGACTTAGGAGGAGGGCAGGATCAAGAAAACTATACCTTGTCGAGCTTTCATTACACTTCTAGGCCATTCCAAAGGTTCTGTAATAGGCTTTCTTATGCTCTCAAGAGGACCTATGCTTTCCTCATGTCGAGTAGTACCCCAAACATCGCGAAGTTCCCCCCTTGGTCTCTTTCCCGGTGTCCATACAGGGTCATCAATTTTCCGTTTAGGGTTTAGTATCTCAACTTCCTCATCCAAGTCTTCATTAACCTCTATAGACATGTACTCAAACACCGGCTCCCTTGTATCAACTCTTGTCGGATTTTGATCACTCCCTTCATTTCTCTCAATCAAAACATTGGAATCATGTGGAGAAGTCTCTTTCCTCGAATTGGCTATCTTTTCCTGACTATTCCCATCATTATGATCACTTCTTGGTAAAACATATTTCTTCACGAAATAAGACGATTCCTTCTCAACTCCACAACTTTGTGCATCAAACGTGGAAACCTTAAAACACGCGTTATTCTTGTACTTGAAGATGAGAGTGTCCTTTTCCTTAAGGTTGTACGCGGTTACAAACTCATTCCAACCTTCTCCCGACAATTGAAGTTGTGTTGTTACTTGTACTAAGTTGTACTTCCCAGCTATGGCTGTCATCAATATCAGATGTTGGGCCTCTAAGAAACACTTTGTCTGGTAATCTTTTCCTTACATTTTCTGTGAATTTCTTCGGAATCATCTGATATTCACATCAAAATGAACAATCTTACTAATTAACTGTTTACTGCCAAAAAATGTAATATGCATTTCAAAAACAAAAATTTAAGAACAAGGCCTAAATGTCATATTGTATCGAAGTACTGTACTCCCTTCACTTCGTATAATCAAAACACTTTCCTTTTACATTTGTTTTAAACGGAATATAATTGCAACACTTCTATATTTAGATTGGATCCACCGTTATTTTTATAATTTTTCTCCACCAATCCTACTTTCACAAATATTTTATTTTTTTTCCTACTAACCCCACCTATACTACTTTATATTATTCTGTCTCCTACTAACAATACTTTATACTCCGTGTTATAAAAAACTAGATATAAGCCCGTGCGATGCACAGTTCTAGTAAATATTTTAATTAATTTAAGATTTTTTTATAGGAAGATCATTCATCGGATATTTGAATAAAATTTCTAATATCATAAGATAATTTTTTTTTAATTTTAACACTAAAGTTATCTTTTGTAGGTTTATTTATTTTGCGTGGCGCTTGAATTTAAAATCCTAAACCTTATTCTTCAATTTTGCTTAATAAAAAATAAATGACAAATCAATTTATTTATTGATTAAAATAAGTCCTTTGCAAATGCGTTTTTTTATATACTCGTTCTGTTTCAAAATGTTATGTCATCTAAAATCTTTTAACTATTAAAAAAATAAGGGGGAATCTTCTGAATTTCTCTTTGTATATAAGGAAAAACATAGTGATATGAGATTTAGTTTTATTCGTTTCGATGAGTACATTTTTAATATCTAATATATCCTCAAAATTAGTGAACATTCTAGTGTTGCAATTAATACAAAATGTAGGGAGTATAGTAAGAGTATACCCAATGGATGACCCAAAATTCTTGGTCATGGATTGTTATATAATTTATTTGTCTTTCCACTCATCTATGACCAACCATGACCAAAGACTCCCAATGATTGCCCAAAATAACTTTGGTCATGATTTTCTCTCTCCTACTTTTACCATACAAATACCCATTTTCTTCTTCCAATAATACACTGCCACTTGTCCATTATTTTCTTCATGACCAAATTTTCAGTTTGGTCATTACAAAGACCAGGTCATTAATCTCTTTCATCCCTTTTCTTCTTTCTTCCATTTTTTTAATATAAAAAGCCCTCTCTCTCTCCTCATGACCAGTGACCTGGTCATCCAATGGCCACACTCTAATTCGCAATAGAACTCTGAAACAAAGGCTAGATCCGAACCTTACATTGTCCATAGATGTAAGTATGTAACCTTAATACCTTATAATTCTTGAATGGGGGACGGAAAATTGAACATTTGAGTATAATCACTAAACTAAAGTAAACATCTTTCAAAAACAAACAAACAAAAAAAAAAAAAAAAAAAAAAAAAAAAAAAAAAAAAAAAACCTTTTAACAAATTTTCATTCCAAGCAATCAAGCATCCACTTCGATCAAGTACCACCATACCCAATTAAATTTTTTTTTTTTCCAAAAAAATAAATCAAATTCTCAATAGCTTGAGATGAAAATGAAATGTATAATTCAAGCATCATGAGTTCATGACATTCAAAAACATAAACCAACCGAGCAACATTTTTTTCCACACTCAAAATTTGGTGTATGTCATGTGTTCCGTATCATTAGTTCATGCATGATAATTATTTCGAGACAAAGAGAGTAGACAGTGTTTCGGATGAAAACAATCGAATCTCGGAAGATCCTTTTATCTTGAGGGAACTTGGTCTCGGTCCGAACGACGCAGGAGCCGAGGGTTTCCTGCACAACAAATACACGTAAACTAGCCTCGGGGGGGACGCCGAGGAAGGCCCCTCCGATGCTTAAGTCAGTATATTAGAGAGAGAAAGCTGTGCAAGAGTTTAGTTGCTTGAGGCTTTTTTGTCTTACCAAGAATTGACCAAATTGTTGGCTTTTATACCTTGGCTAATGAAGGAGGCGGATTGGGCCCGGAAGTCAGTTGGGCTGGGCCAAGCTGATTGGGCCGTTGACTGACCTTGACATGGCTTTGAGGATGTTGATTTTTGACTTTAGCACATTTGGAGAGTTGAACCTTAACCTTGGGCTTTTAATTGGATCATTCAGTGACCAGGCCCAATTGGACTAAATTGGACCCAAACAACTTGCCCCCCAGACCCGATTTGGAAGGATGACGGGTCGGGTTTGATTTAATCAGAAAAGGAGGGAAGTGAATGATTTGTTAATCCAAAAATGTGAATTTAAACCGTAATTAACCCATGATTAATGAGATAACAACAGTTAATGTGGATAATTGCGGAAGTTGGACGGGTAGTGGGCGATTTAACTGCAAGGTCGTGTGTTTAACGGTTACTTAGTGGGGTGCTTGAGAGAAATTGAAACGCAGACTCCTTGAATTCCCATTTCTGGAGATATAAATAGAGGCGCGTCTTCTCTCCCCACTCATTCATCAACACAAACCCAGAATTCTCAAGAACGCTCAAGAGCCCGCATCAAAACTTCGCAAATTCCCCGAGCATTAAGCTTAGAAGCTGAGACTTGTCACTACCAATTCGTAAATCGGCGACTTTTGCTTCAGATCAAGGTAAATTCCTTTGATTTTATTTCATTTTTCTTCGACTTTGCACTCTTTCCCCTTTTTCGACTTTTTCCTTCGAAATTCGTCAATGGTGAGGGGAGTTAGAGGTGGAGCCCGTGCTCCAAGAAGAGCAAGGCTAATCCCCGATCCCAGGGACAGGATTGGGACCTGGAATGGACGAAGGACAGAGTCTGACCCTGCTGAAGGGGTTAGGGCGACTCCCATTTCTTCGGCTCCTCCTCAGAGGGCTGAGGGGGTGAGCGCTTCAGGACGGGATGATGAAGTTCCCGCTGTCCTTTGGGATATCCTCCCAGGGTTTTCAGAGTGGGAGGATGCCGAAGTAGCTTCGGCCATGATAAAGAACCGCCCCTACTCATGGTGGGTGGAGAATGCTGATCAGTACCGGTTTGCCGAGCAAATTGAGTTGCATTACGGCATCCTTGAAGCCGATGGGTATTGGTGCCGAATGCCCACGGCCTCCGATAGAATCCACCGTCCACCCCCGGGGTATGTGGGGGTGTACACAAGACAACTCCAGTACGGGCTGAGGTTCCCTTTGGACGTATTCGTCCGAGACTTGCTGATCCATTACAACATTTCCCTGTGCCAGCTGACCCCCACCAGCATCCGAAGGGTAATGACGTACTTATGGGTCTGCAAATTCTTCAGGTACGTGCCGAACCTGCATTGCTTCAAAAGGCTCCATCGGCTAGTGCCAAACATTCAAAGTGGGCACGGATGCCATGGCTCTGGGTGGTATCGGATTGAGTCTCGGCCCCCGTTCCTAACCATGTGGCCGAACGACTCTTCAGACAAGGACTGGAGAGGTCAATGGATTTGGGTTAGGGCACCCACGGAGCCGAGCCACCCTTACGTTTTCAGCGCTCCCCGGTATCTTGCCGAGCCGGATCCTGATATGGGAAGTTTAGGTCCTCCCGAAGATAGCGGGCCAGACCCGAACCTTAATCAGCAGAACATCTTCGGCAAGCTGCCGAACCGGGGAGGCAGCGGCCGAATGCAGCATATCCCGGAGACTTGGCTCCCCGATACGCACTATGTTTTCCAAGAGAATATGCTGGCAGCTGTCGGCCTCAGCCGAAAGTTTAGGGATGGTAATCTTCTTCGGCTGGGGCCGAGGCCTTTTAATTATCTCTTTTCTTCTTTCATTTTGCTTTCTTGTGATGTGCCGAACTAACTGAATTGACTTCTCCCCTTTTCTTTTTCAGAACGGGACGAGACCAACGTCGGCATTGATTACGCTCGCCTTGGCGTCAACCGAGAACGAGTCGTAACTGATCGGGCTCCCCCTATCACTGAACCAAGGCGCCGAGAGGTTCACCTAGACTCTTCCCACTTCCAAATTGAGGCTGTTGCTCTGTATCAGAGGCAGAAGCCTTGGTGGAAGAAGAGAGATCCCTTGTTTCAGCTGCTGGAAGAAGAAGCTGAAGCTGCCCGTACAGCCGAAGAGGTTGCACGGGTTATTGAAGCTTGTGAAGGTGGAGAAGGGTCCTCCAGAGTTGCTGAAGAAGCTGCGGCTAGGGCAGCTGAAGAAGACGAGGCTTTGCTGAAGACCTCGGTGAGCCTTTAGACTTAACTTTGTCTTTCTTCTTCTTTTTTTTTTTTTACTCACATTCTTCCCCCTGCCTGCCCTTTACAGTCTGAAGAGAGCAGCAGACACAGGGAAGGGAAAGCCCCTGTTCGTCCCGAAGACCAAGTACAAGAAGAGTCTTCAGACTCGGGTATGGACGAGCAGCCGCTTCAGAAGAGGCGCCGAAGAATGGCCATCATCGGCCCGCATGACTTTCAGCGGAGGCCGATGACCATCGGCGTTGAAATAAGGGAACCCGAGGAAGGCAATGGATCGCCGAGGGTTCCCCGGCCACCGCCTCAATCACCCCCAAGGGCCTCTCCGCCACCCCCCGAGATGGAGGTGGATCAGAGAACTCCCAAACCTAAGGGAGAGGTTCTGGAAGAAGCTCGAGAGAGTGCCGCCGAGGACAAGGATGGAGACGCCGTGATGCCCAGTGCTGAGGGTTTCACGGCGGACATTGCCAGAGAGGTTGGGGCCTTCGTCCTCACACCTGAAGAAGAAGAGGTCACAATAATTGACTCTTCTGAGAAGGAGGAGGACGTTGAGCCACCCAAAGCTAAAGAGGCTCCATCGTCATCCTTCCCTTCCTTCCAGACGCTGCAGTCTGGAGAAATGGGTTTCTCGGCCCCCCGAATTCCAGTCCCAGACCACATCTGGGACCTCATATGGGGTCAGAACCGAGAAGGTGCTGCAGCCTACTTCGGCGATTTTGCTGGCCTGTCCGAAGTAGATAGG